TTTTGATGATGTTCTGCAGCAAGAGAAAGAGGGTAAAAGAGTCGCAAAACATTTCTTAACTTTCGAATTCACATTTTCCTTGTTTCAATTGGGAAATTCATCAATAATTTTTTTTTTCCTAAGTTTACTACTTGCTAATAGAAAGTGGAAACATATAAAGAGCAAAGATCGTTTTCAAACTTTTTTACTGGTTTTAACTTAAACGAAAAGTGGGCAACCGCACTCGTCTTAAAGGGTTGTATAAGTATATTTATTCAGACTTTTTTTTATTCCGAAGTTACATATTTGACAAAGATTTTGTGAAATTTTCGAACGAAAATATTCAAAACTCGATAATTACGGCGTCGTTTCCGGCAGTCTCTCGGAAAAAAGATGCTTCTGCGTTGACAGCAGAGTTTCTGACAAGATCATCAAAAGTAAAAAGAAAAACAAAACGTGTTTGAACTAAGACCATTAACTAGCTATTGGGATGAAAAAAAACTAATAAAGTGAAAATTCTATTTTTGGCAAACGTTTTTACAAAAACATGCAAATTTTGGAGAAAATTTCTCGACGTTTTTGGTTTTATAAATATTTGTAATCAGGGCTGCGAACCACTACAAAAATTGATGAGGTTCGGTTCAGTGGTTCGAACCACTCAGAAGATACGTATACCGGTTTATGAGTATCTCCGCACCGCGGTTCGGTTCGCTTCAATTGGTTCAGTTTTTTATACTAATTGATATAAAAAAACTTATACATATATTTATTAAGAGTATGTAGCATGACAAAAGGTAGACTGTCAATGAAAGAAATTTTAATGTAGATTACTTCTGGAATTTCTTCTTCAAAATTTCGCCAACGATCTTCTCTGAAACGTCGGCGTGCTTTGTATGCCTCTCGCTATATTCGCTGTTTTCCTTTCATTGCAAATTTGCAAAATATTCGTAAATTTTTTCAAAATAAAAGCTTTTGTGTACTGTATTAGCACTCATTTTCAAAACATTTACAAAATAATCACTTGAAAAGTATGCCAACCTTTAGAGAACACAGACGCGATTATTTGAAATTACAGTGAAAAATCACATCTCATGGCGTTGCATTCAAGGAAATTTGTGGTAGCTTATCACGAGGTTAACATTTTTAAGCTCGTCGAATATTATTTAACTTAAAAATGCTTATTGCGGATTTTCATTTTTAACCGAACCAAACCATTTTATTAAGTCGTTTCCGGCTCGGTTTTCGCATTTTATAACAAAAGCGGTTTGGTTTATGGTTTGGTTCGAAAACCGGTTTGTGGCATTGGTTGTAATTGAACAAAAAAAAAAAACATCTGCGGCAAGACCTTATAAATTATATCTCAAAGACCTGTGTAAAATTTCGTTAAGATCGGTTGAGTAGTTTGTGCGAAATCTTGACAACCGACTTTGAAAACACAGTTTCGAGAAAAACGAGTTAAGTGACTATATAGCGGACCTCGAGCTGGTATCAACTTAAGAATTTAGTACAATATTCTAGAGATGTTACCTAGTGAAAGCCTAAACAAGGTTTTTTGAGATATACATTTCAAATTTGATTTTGTTATTTTTAGAGGTATAAACTATCGAAATATTAAAAAACAATACATTTGTTTTCTAATGTCACACTGGTTGTTCCCCTTAATGATATAGAAGCTTCCCTAACATTGAAAGAAATAATAAAATGACACCGTAAGTATTATCAGTTATTACCATTTGCAGTTCAGATTTTCAAGTAGTGGTTTGTTGCCTGCCTATTCTACTACCAGTCGCATAACTAGCTGCGAACATATAAATAAAAGCTGAGCAATTTCTGATTTCTGACACAATACAAGCCACCGCCTCCGAAAAGATTTCACACCATGTTCATGTGATCGATTTTAAAATGGGTTGTTGAACTTATTTGAATGTTAAGTCAGTAGTAGCGGTGGTGAGGGTAGCGAGTAAATGCCACCATTTATTGGATTTTTCTGCAAAGTGGATACACACACACACACACACATACATGCAAGCAAGAACACCGTTTGTGTGAAGTAATGCTCTTATTTGCCCCGCTACTTTGGCTTGACATGCCAATACTGCTATGCTGCCATGGTTCGAATGTCAGTCGCACATACACATATACTTATGTACATATGTATGTATAATACTTGTGAGTATTAAAGTTGCGCTGATGACGGTAATGATGTGAAAGATGTGTGTTGAGCTTGGTTTTGCTTGTATGATTATTTGTAACAAAAGCTTTCTTCAACTTTGTTGCTGTTGTTGCTAAATGTAATACTATTTAATATTTGTCATTGTCACTAACAACAACAACAACGCATACGCTGATGAAGTTGACGATGGCTACGACGACAACGACGGGGACGACGACACGATGACACTTACTTCATTTATTAACACAATTCCAGCTTACACTTGCAATGTCATGTCCGCTATGCGATGTCTGTCCATGTGTAAAATTCTTATGTTTGCTTTTAAAATGCTCATGCGAGTATTAAGAAAAGTTTTGCTGTGCCATGTTTCTACTTACAAGCTTACAGTTTTTTTCGTTGCTGCTATTTTGACAGTTGCTGTTGTCACTGCTTTCAGAATTATTACATACCAGCGGTGGCAATGCGACCTGCCTGCCCTTTGCTGTGTGGAAATCAATTTTCCACTCTCTCATCATCATCAGCCTCATCACTGTCATACCGCCACACCACCCCCTTTTTGATTTTGTGTTGCTTCAATTGATCTCGGTGTTCAGTGGTGTGTGCACGCCAGTGACCCCCTCCCAGTTACCAGAGATCTTTGCATGTGTCTGTATGGAATTCGCCATGTGAAAGTGAATAAAGAAGCAATGAGCGAGGGCCCCAACAGCAAACAACACCCAAATTGCCCTTATAAAGCTTTCATTATATGACAATATGGGAATTTATTTATATTCCTAGGGCTCCAATGGCGTGGTGAAGAGTTAGCTTTTGGTTGCTGCGTTGCGAGAACTTTCAATTCACCAGCCACCATTTACTGTTACTCATAGTTTTAATTTAGCTGCTTTATTTTGTAATTAGTTTAGTTAGAACTAAACGTTTCTTTGGTGTGCGGGGAGTGGTGCACTCGTATATAACTTCCGTTCACATTCGCTTCCTCTACGACCGCTGTTTCGTATATGCGCAATGTCGTGTATACCCATAATGCGAAAGTTGTATACGTTTTACAACAACATCATTTGTTTAACGGTACCACTCCCAGTTCTTGACATAACGGGTATAACTTGGTTTGTTTGTTTGAAAGCCTACTGGGCGGTCGGTCGGTCGTTCATCGGTTTGTCTGTCGTTGACTTGCTCGTCTGCAGCAGCATATCGCCTTGTCTGCACGGTTGTGTGTGTGTGTATATGTATGTGACAACAAAGTGCGGCCGAAAGGTGGGTGGCTGCCTGTGGGAGTAGTCGTTGATGAGAGGTCGTCGGTGGCGAAGGCGTTGCAGTGTCGTACGGTGGGAGACTCCTACGCTTTGAACTTTGAAAATTGATTTGTAGCTGCTAAAAGGCTCGGCTGTTGTTGGTGTTTTGGCGTGCTCCGTTGTTGACAGTCACTTGCTGCGAGTGCATTAAAGCGACCGACCTCAACGCGAGGTTCATTAAAATTACTTCATTCGCACACAGTCACACACACACTCGTGTCGATATACCGCTATGTGGACCTGTGCTGTGTATCGCATTTAGTTGATGGGTTGTGGGTTTCTTTTAACGCCTCTTAGTTTCTTTTTCACTTGCATTTCTCAATATACATTCTTAGTGGTTTTATAATTAGATTTCGTCGGTGTAATGAGTTTTTAACGTGATTTTAAGATATTTTTTTTTTGTTTTTAGTTGGTTGGTACTCCTTACAAGTGTCATAAGTTATTAAAACATGTTGATTAGATTTATTCGTAATGTCATTGTCGAGAGCTCCTTTGCTCCGCTTGTTTTATATTAAAGATCAAAAGTTTCGGTGACGGTCGCTAATATATAGTAGTTTTTCACATGTTTGTTGATAGTTGTAGCTTTTTATACACTCAGCATGGTTTGCCACGAAGTTTGTAATATTCAGTACGAAAGGTCGCAGACCCTCTAATGTATATACATACTTGTATATAGCTGACGAGCTGAGCCGATTTAGCCATGTCCGTCTATATATGTGCAAACAAGTCCCAATGTTTTTGAGATCTCGATCTGAAATTTTGCACATAACCTTTTTTCCCCAAGAAGCTGCGCATTTGTCGGCACCGCCGATATCGGACCTCTATAGCTTATATACACTATAGCAAACTCTTGTATGAATTTTTTTTTTAGTTGGCAAGATATCTTCATGAAATTTGGCATGAATTATTGTCCAAGGCAACGGTACCATCTTGAAACGAATTGTTCAGATTGAACAACCATAGCATATACTATGTATGTATGTAGCTGCCATACAAACTGTTCGATCAAAATCAAGTTCTTGTATGAAGAGAGAGAGGAAGGATGCCGTACATTATTTGCTAATAGATTTACGCTAAATATATTAATATTTTCATAAAACTCGTGACTTGTTTCTGTAGCTTTCCTCTTGCTTGGCTTCTATAGCATTATGTATGCATAAGTTCACATATTGTTTTTTTTTTTGTTTTAATTTTTATACCTACGTGACTGTTATGGCATCATATACTAATATGATGAGCATAATATGAAAAACGTAAAAAAAAATTAATAATATTTTTTGCAAACATCGAACACAAAATAATAATCAAAATCAATTGCTCAAAATACTCCATGAGCTCTCAAGCTGTTTTCATTCACCAACGCAAATATTACTCACTCCAAAACATTACGTTTGAGTTGCACTCAACATATATTCTGCTCAACAGTTGCGCTCGTTCGCTAAAATTTTACGATTCTTCAAACATAATAGTCTGCTAATTTTTCGTTTCTTATTCGCTTCTGTTACAATTCATTGCTGCTATTATATAAAGATTTTTATTTTGATTAAAAAACTTAAGACTTAAAATCATTTACAATTGTTTATTAAAAGCAAAACTCAAGGGTTACTACAACAATGGATCATATTTAGACAGCTTTAGTTCTTGTGATACGCAAAAACTCCTAAAAATGGATCAACAGATCCTCAAAGCGTTACCAAAAATTTGTTAAGGCGGTTAATATCAATCCCAGCCACTTCCCAGGTTCGTAGAAGGTGTGTCTACCGAGATATTTCAATCTCAGTCTGGCAAAAGTAAATTATCTCCTCCTCCATACAAACTTGACAAAAAGCGTCTAATTAAATATTTAACCACACCGCACAGCAGCGCAAGTTCTGGTTGTTGACTAGCGCTTGCCAAACTCTCACAGGAGGGATGGCAGCCACCTCCGCTTGAAAGACACTACTAGTGGTCTGGTAGTATGTAGCTAGAGTTGACGTAGAGCTCCAGACATAAGACACCACCTCCAACCCTTGCTTTTAGCTTCGGTTCATACGTGACAAAGCTCACTGCACCTCTTGTCCAACGACTTCGCCCCAACCCACAGACAGCCAGTGTGCCGCGCGTTCGAGTCAAACCAGTAATGATGTTGGTTTTCTTTCGCCGAGTCTCCGCCAGAGTCTTGTCATCGTGCTAGTTTAACTTTACCCTCTAGCTGATCGATTGGCTAGTATTTTTGCATATCTCCGTTTTGTTTTGGCGGCGATCAAAATGTATCAATTCTTATTATTTTGTTAATTGTGCTAATATTTTGAACGAAAACTGCAAACTGCAATGAGGCTTGGTTAGTTCAACGCCCCAACATCGTTAATTTTGCATTGTGCGTTTGCTTATAGCTTGGCTGTGTTGTATTTTGTTCTTTTTTGTTGTTTTGTTCAACTTTTCTCACATAGGTTATGTTGACGTAAAGTCTCAACGTCAGTCTTGTCCAGTCTAGCCTTATTTAGCTTGCAGCTTCTTCTAATTTTCGAACCCGGTTTATTTTTAATTTTTTGTTTTAACTTTTTCTTGATTCCTTACACATTGCATATCATGATATGTTGTTGCAGTACCGCATAATTTTCCTAAAAGAGCATCAAATCCCTTATATAAACACAAATGGCATGACGTTAAGAAGCAATTCCTTGAAAACATTCCCAACACGTTTTTTTAATTCACCAATCCAGCAACACAGCACGTTTTTGGCGCCAATTTGTGCTGCATCTTCGACAACAAAGTCATGGTAACGCCAAAACAAATAATAAGAAAATACATACATACATACATACATATGCAGCTACTACACACACATATGTATGCATGTGCATACATTGTTTATGTCTGCGGCTGCTGCAGTGTCCTTCATCGAGTTCAAAGAATTCCTTACTTCAAAGGCATTAAGTCCTCAGCGTTCCTTGAACCCATTTTTCAAAGTCATTTATAAAAGTAACAAAAACAGACCGCAACGAAAAAAAAAAGTAGCATACCAAACCAGACAGACAAACAGACAAAAGAACTAATCAAGACTTTGTATGGATTGCATGGACGGCATAACTTACCTATGCGGCAGAGCCAGACAAACATAGTAGTCCTCGTGGGAAGGAATTTCATGGCGTGTTATTTGCAATGCCTGTGAACTCCGCCTTCAAAATGGGCATTTCGCTGCATACCGCATTTCACATAGGCACAACAATGCGCGCATCATAACAGGAAAGCACTGTTGTGCTGTTGTTGTTGATCGTATATGCTGAAATCTGCATGTGTGTGTGTGTGTGTGTAAATGCGTACGCATGCGCTTATGCATGTGTGGCATTTAGATTTGCGCGCGGCAAAGTATGCTTTATAGTAGAACTAATCGGAATCATGCGTTCGCTGGGCGATCTTGCAGTCATTGCCTTCGCAGCCGCAGCGTTTGCCAACAACACAGCTTCTTGATGATCATTTGTCTACTGGTTTGTTTGATTTTCTTGTTTTGATCGCACTCCTGCGCCGTTGGTATGCCGATGGTGCGGACATTTATACAATTCATGGATTCCATGAACGAATTCCTTTATGCACGACACACACACACACTATGTGGTTGTTGTTGTTGCATTGCTGTTGAGTTGTTGCAGCCGCTGCTGCAGCTGCCGCGCGCAAACTACACTTTTTCTTATTTCTTGTTTACTTCGTGTGCCTATCGGTGGGGCGGTTGTTGTTGTTGATGTTGTTGGAGGTGGTGATGCTGCTGTAAAAAGGCAATAGACTTCTTGGAATGCTAAAGTTGTTTACTTGTGTTTTGCAGTACTTTTTCCGTTTGCCATAAGCGTGCATAAATTCGATTCGTCTGATACTCTGATACTAGGCCTAAACACTCTCGTATGTACTCGTACATATGTTTGTAGTTATGTGTTTGTATGCAAGTGGACGCGAATAGTAATCCGCCTGGTATTAATGGATTTATATTACCATAAACTAAATAATTTTTGCATGCTTCGTTTACGCTTCGAAACTGTTAATTAGCTTTGATACTCCACCAGAGTCCGTTTACCTTAAGTGATCTATAAAAATTGGATATGTAGACGACGCTTTAATAGTTTTTTTTTCACATTTCCTTAATATAATTTTTATTGCTATCTTTTTAATAGCAGCTATAGTTCGAAGTCATGTTTAGCAGTTCCGCAATTCGGATATATTTTTAATGCTATTTTTGTGTTTTTTCCCCCTTTTTAGTCTTAATAAGTTACTCATTAAATATATCGCGTGCACTTTGCATTTGTCTCCATTTTTTCCATCTGGCATTTTTGCGGTTAACACAGCGCGCTGACTAGCTGCTTGGCTCCCCTACTTTAATAATACAAGTTAGATATATTTTTAGAAGGTCTTCTTATTGCGTTATTCGAAGAAGAAAAATTAAACTATTAAAAACGGTGCACCTTAACAGCGCCGATCCATAGTTGGTATAATTATCATTAAGAAACAAGCTGGTGGCCGCTCAGAAAGAGGGAAGTTGATTTTCTAGTATTCCACTCCGTTTACTATATTTTATGTTTTAATGCTGCCACACGCTTAAAAGTATAATGCTGTCAATGCGCAAACGTCGTTGACCCTTCTGCACATGTGCAGAATATTCTTAGCGCTCAAATCGCTTTGGTTGTTGTCGTTGTTTTTTCATGATTTTTTGCTTTGCTTGCATGACTTTTTGCAATTTTTTCACCCCTTTCATTGGGTGACTATTGCTGCTATTTTTAGCGCTATTGCAACATAGTATTATAAGTAAAGATATGCTAAAATGTCTGGCGAGAAATAATAGTTGAGTTTAGAATCTGCTGATTTTGCCATGTAGAAGCTACAGCTTTTCCAAAATTATAAGCCGTTAGAGTTTATGAGAGAGCAGAGTTAAAACAGGTAGTACGTGCTGCTTGCGGTAATCCTTAAGATTCTAACGCCGTTCCAGTTTCTGTAATAACTTCGATAATATTATATTATTTTTGGATTGTTGTAGGTTATCTTTGTCACTTACAAAGGATCACTAACACATATCCCATGCTGTAACCATTTACTTTCTACCTACATTTCTGAGAATTGAAGAAAGCAACACATTCAATGAACTCCTATTGTCCATTTTCAGCGTTCATTACTAATTTTTCCCACACGACGTTTTTCGTAGCGGAATGTGTACGTACAACGTTCTTTACATATTCACACGTGTATACACACAGTGCAATCAATTACCGTTCCATGGTCAATACCAAAAATATGTTGCGAAAATTCCTCAGTCATTGAATGTGTGTCCACAAGAAACACGTTTCGCTACACACAACGATCATTTGGCTTGGCTTAATGGAAAAGTATGCGGAAAACCGTTAAATCGCTACAGCGTGTGCGCACCGCCTCTATCGATGTGTGATGCATCGTGAAGTAAAATGTAAAATAAAACTTTGAACTGATCAAATTTGATCAGGACTGACAAAAAAAACAATACATTTTCACGTATTCGAAAAGAAATTTGTATAATAAAGAAGAAAAAATGTTAACTTCGTTTGCACCGAAGCTATAATACCCTTCACAAATACAAAGCTTCCTTACAAGAACTTGATTTCGATCCTTTAGCTTGTATGGCAGCTATATGCTATAGTGATCCGATCTAAACAAATTGTTCGAAGATTAAATTGTTTCCTTAGGAAATAGCTCATGCCAAATTTCGTGAAGATATTACGTTAAGTAAAAAAGTTTCCCATACAAACACTTGACTCTGATTGTTCAGTTTGTATGGCAGCTATATCCGTTCCGACAAATGGGCAGCATCTTAGTGAGGAAAGGAAAGGACAGGTGCAAAATTTCAGAACGATATCTCAAAAACTAGTTTGCGTATATACAGACAGACAGACCAACATGGCTAAATCAACTTAGCTCATCATACCGATCTTTTATATATGTATACATTTTATAGGGTCTCCGACGTTTTCTTCTGCGTGTTACAAACTTCGTGGACAACTTAATATACCCTGATCAGGGTATGAAAACAGGCTACACTTGTTATAAGCCTCGGCTGGGATGGCCTTCAGTGCCTTCAGGGAATTTTGGTTTATTGCATTTCGGCTCATTTTTGGTGCGCCATTGGCTACATTGTTGGGCCGTTTCGTCGTCATATTCATAAACCTACGTCTCGTCACCAATGCGTTTGATGAATGTAAGGTCACCCTCAGTTAAGTTGTCACGCATCTCTTTCGCGACCCCCACGCCATTTTTGCAAAATTTGCAGGTCTTTTGGTGTGTGATGTATTGAGTCGAGACCCTACCTCACCTTACCTTCTATTCTCACCCTATTTGTTATTATTGAAATATATTATAATCATATTTTGCCATTTGTTTGTTCGCTTCGCTAAAACTTTGAAGACATCTACAGTCCATTCGGTACTGCTAGCTCCTAAAATTATGCTTCTACCGATGTTGGTTTACACATCCAGAGCTTTACAAAATTTTTTGTGCACTAGTGCTCATACAACAAACAGATTGCTATCGATATTCAAGTTTGCGTCTACCTGACTTTATACCTAGCACCTCCTACCCGCCAGCCCCGCTGCTGAAGCTTATACCCTTATATGTAGGTGAAACAACATGTATCTATACATTTGACAATCTCTGTGCGAGCATTAAGTCGGATTCGAGCACATGTATAAATAGAGACATACACACATATACACATATAAATGTGGATTTACCTGACCAACCAACCAAGTCTTTGTCCCACAAGAATTCTCAGAATTCTTGACAACATTCCATGGAGCGGAGTGGTCGACCAAGCGTGCTTCTGCTACCATACACACACACATGCAAGCGCTTCAGCAGCAAACATTACCGCTATCAGCACCTTCTCTACAATACTCGTCGTTTGCACATCTCAACGCCGCGTTCGACGACATGAACTTGGTGTCTTTGATCGCCGATCAGTAATACGCGTGCGCGCACGGAAAATTACCCATAAATACGGCAAAAGCGCGATGATCGTCATGCGCGCAAAGATAATTATCAATTCGCCGGTTTTTTTTTTGCGCGACAGCATCGGAATATATATGAGTGTGTATGTGCCAACCAGCATGTAGGGTGTGGAGCCCCCACAAAGAATACGCAGTGCTGCGCATGTGCCCCGGTAAAAATGTAAATAAACCTGTGGCGGCGCCTTGTCGTTGCTGATTGCTTTTGTTGTTATGGCCACAGTGTTTTTATTATAAGATGGCTAAATAGTGGGAACAACATACCATAGTTACAATATCTCTTTTGGTTTTAGGCATAAAAATATTTTCAAAAATGGCGCCGGATTTAAAGCGTGTTAGGTTTTCGAATCGCATATAATCACGTTGTATCCAACACGAGTTAACTAGCGGATATTTTATTAAATTTGAATTTTTAGTAATGAAACTTTTAGTTTATTCCGACAGTCTTTATGCTCCTTTCATTTATCATATATTATTGCATGCTGTTGTTTACCTTTGTATTACAACTGCAGTTGTACATTTGTATGTTTCCCCCAGCACGCCCTGGCTTTGATGTCACTGGGTGCTTTGCTCACTTCTGCTCATTTATTTATATTTACATTTACATATGAATGTATGTATGTGTTTGTGCAATGTTTTTGCTGTGGAGTTCACGTGTGTGTGTTTTTTTTTTATTTTATATTTTTTTTTTTTTTTTTATATTTTTTTTATATTTTTTTTTTTACCTTTTCCCTGTCATTTGCTTCAGTTTTCGCTGTCATGCGATATTGTTTATTATATTCACTCAATATGCACGTGTGTAAGTATGTGTGTGTTTATTTAATTAATTTCTTATTTTTATATGTTTATCTGTTGTGCCTTTTATATTCGCATTCGCTTGTTTTAAACAAGCCCTTCAACTGGTTGCCTACAACAACTGCATTGCCCATGCGAACACACAACCATATATGTGTATGTATTGTACATATGGCTGTGTGAGGTATATTAAAAATATGCTCACCAAAGTCAGTCATTATCATGTTATGCTGCACACACATGCACATAGATACATAAACAACATTGGCTTTATCATTATCAGCGACGCCGATTAACTTCATTATGACGTTTGTACAACGACCCAATGCTTGAAATGTGCCTTGTGTTTATTTGCCGTAGCTCCTTGGCGTTGGAACAGAAAAACAACCCGCAGTGGAAGTTTTTTGGAGGGAAAAAATCTTGGCGTCGTTTTTCAAGTTTTGCTTTGTGCCGTCTTTTGTTTTTGTCAAAGTTGCTCTGAACGATTATTTTGTTTTCATTTTCTTCAGTTTCTCTTTAATGTTTTACATTATTTTTTTGTATTTTCGCAGTGCTTGGCTTCATATCTTTGAGGTTGGTTTCTGTTGGATTTTCGCTTGCAAAGAGGATTTACATCAGTTTTCAGTTTGAAATGAGTAGCTTCTGAGTTGAGGAATATGGTATATGTTTCATGTGATATTTGAATTCGAAAACATTATTGTTTGAAATACTCTTACGGTAGTTGGTTTACATATAACTCGGTTTAAGAAAATCTATTAATTTTAAATTTATTTTGAACATTTTGATATATTCAAGCGCCTAAATGCATACTTTAAAAATCATGCATGTAAATTTGTTTGCTGGATCAATTATATTTGATTGAAAACTAGCAGGGAGCTGTTTTTGAAAATTTTAGGTGAAGCTACTCAAGTTTTTTGTTATATTTTTGTACAAAAATACATAAAAAAAAGATAACTCTCGAATTCAAATTTTTAATAACCAGTGCTATAACTACATATATATTTATGTATATGATCAATTAGCATAAGATTACGCCATGTGGTGTTGTAGTATATAGAAATGTGATTTCCATTAAGGGGTTATAACCACTTGTGAATATGAAAAAAATTATTTATTTTTTGTATATTTAAAAATATTCTCCGAAAATTTCCGTATTTGGAAGAATTTTTCAACTTTCCCAAAACTTTAAGCGCGTTTTTCTCGAAACAATATTTTTAGAGTCGCTGACTGGACTGATGAATCGAAATTTTTATACGATCTTGTTAGATATAGTCTGGTAATGATCGAAAGAATACAATTTTTGATAACAATTTCAACTTCACGCTGAAGTGTAAATTTTATCACAAAAACGACTTTTTTTTTTGGGAAGTCACCATTCTTGCAAAAAAAAAACAAAATGTTTACTAGTTCTTAGCTCATTACCTGCATTCACCTATAATAATAATAAATTTGTTTGTTTGTTGGATTTGAGATAATTTTAAGCAGAAAAATCTTCTTTTCGCTAGACAGTTTTTTCGGGCGTTTTCCTAGAGATCGGCTGCGGGATGAAGCGAACCTAATATATTTTTAATGAAATCGCCGATTATTAAAGCGCATTAAATTCTGTAAAAGTGCATTTTTTAAAACTTATTCATTAAATAAAATGTCTCTTCAAAAACAATTCACGAAATAAAGCGTTCTTTCTGTTTTGCAAGTGGATATTACCCCTTAAAGCACACTTTCTTTTCCCATACCTACCTCGTTTTTGCTTTCCCTTCCCGCGTTAACACATCCGTTTTCACCATTCTAACTGTTGTCATTTGTCATTTGTGATTTTCAGCTTTCACATTTTATGATTTGACTTGTATTCTATGCTCACAGTTTCGTTACAGTTTTCCGCATTTTTCCTTTTCTTTACAGTGTCGCCAACAATAACAACAACAACAACAACAATAAACGCAATAACACAACATTCCTTTCGTTGAAGTGAGCCGAGCGCGCCGCTGAACATAATCGAAGGCCGTAAAGTCGATGGCATAAAGAAGGAAAGAAGGCAAGTAAAATAGAAAATGTTTGACCTCAGTATAGACGATTGTTGTTCACTTCGGAAGCCGGCATAGTAGTATCGCCAGAGTTGGTAGCATTGCGCGCAAAGTGTGATATCAAAGTAAAAATATCGAGCTCAAAAAGGATGCTATAAAAATAGCATGCAATAAAAACAAAGAAGTAGAGGAGACATACGCGGAAAAGCAAGCAAATAGCAAGAAAATAGCAAGCAAACACAGCGGCATTAACAAAGTCAACAACACATTGTTAACATTTAGTACAGTGTTGCACAAAGTTGAAGGCTTGCGTTGCTGCGTTGTGTTGCGTTGCGTCTTCAGCAGCAGCAGCTCAGGTTTACACTCATTAGCGAGGCAGCACACGCTTCTTTGGCTTCATTTCCCTCGAAATAGTAAGCAAAAGAAATCTAAAGTCAGCAATCGAAGACACCACCGCTACCGGCCAACAACGAAAGAATACCGACACCGACGTCTGGTCCGTCCGTTCATCCGTCCAATACAGATAGACAACAACGCTTTCTATGGGTTTTCATTTCGTTGCCTCTACTTCTTACTATAAAAGTGTTGGCGTTCGTCATTTGCGCTGACAACGGTATGTGTTTTTGTCGGAGCACACTACGCACCTCTACCTTAGCATATATACTTCTTTCTTACTTTTTTTTTTTGTTTTGCATTTTTTTTTCTTTAATTTGCTGTATGCGTGCGTGCCCCCCAAAGACGAACGTCGGCCATTGACTGGTGACTGTCTGTCGTAATTAATGTGTATGTGTGTGTTTTGTCTGCAAGTTGATTTTTTAAGTGTGTACGATGTGAACCTCTGCTCGTGCCTGTGGGTTAATCGCACTTATAGAACCGAATGCGTTTCAGAACATATCTACTGTATTTGTATGTAGCTAGAAGCTAGTCTCGCTTGATCTATGATTTTTGTATGTATAGCATACTGTCTGTTTTGTGTTAGTGCGTCTGGCTTACGCATTTGTCTGTGCGTCTCGGTTTGTTTAATCGTACGCAATTGTAGCGCTGCAATCGCAAGTATTCGCTGCGTTTTGCTGAACTACAATGACAAGAGAACTTTTTGCAGTGATTTGAAATGGCAGCTAGAGACGGCTTATTAGAAAAGTATTATAGATGTATGATCTAATAACAACAACAAAAAAAATACTCGGTTGCACTCGTCAATATACTGTACAATGATTTTCACTCGCGCCATATCAGATTAATATTTTTCGCAAGCACAACAATTACTTTATGCCTTGGACAAGTTCTATTTAGTAATATCCTTCTGTATACGCGAAATAGGTTCTCAGTTTTTGAGATACCGATCTGAAATTTTGCATACATTTGTTTCGCTCCAAGAAGCTGCTCATTTGTCGTAACCGCTAAAATCGAACCACTGTGGCATATAGTTGCCATACAAACTGAACGATCAAAATCAAGTTCTTGTATCGAAAATTTCTCTATTTGTCGAGATATCTTTATGAAATTTGGCCTAGATTATTGTCCAAGGCATAGTTACAATCTCCGAAGAGATTATTCAGATCCGACGACTATAGCATATAGCTAACATATAAATTGAACGATTAAAATCAAGTTCTTGCATGGAAACATTTTATTTGTGAAGAGTATTTATAGCTTATTTGAAGATTAGATACGGTGCAGTCAATGTTAATATTTCGTTTTGTTTTTGTTTTCTTTGTGTTGCACATCCTCATTGATTTTGCGCGGTTTTGATTTTGAGAGTTCACACGAGTATTTGCAAATTTTTAAAATCCAAGGCCTCATTAATAAAATCTAATAAACCGAGCATTGCTCTCAAAACAAATGTTCGAATTTCCTGTCTGCGTGATGCATATTGCGTTATCAAATATTTTTTAATCTGTTTTCGAGCGCATATTTGTTATTTTCTTCGCAGTTGATAAACATTAAGGCAAATTTGCCAAGCACTAAATTGGGATCACTAAAAGAACTGTACTTGAAAAGCAATATACGCATTTTATGCATAAAAAAATTGCATTTTCCAGTAACCCACACATTTGTACCCATAACGAATCACTTGTGTTTGCATTACATTACGAAAATGCAGCGTTTAACCGTGTTCGAAAACAAGCATTACCCGCGTAGGCGCAGTGCTTACAACGGAAACAACAAATTTTATATTCGGTTTACAGTTGTTATTCACATTTTCGTTGAATTTTTTGGTTCATTTGGCAGACACCACCACAAACAACAACAACTTGGTCGTTTTGTCTATGCACTTAACAGTTTAGAATGCGCTGCTTTCGCCTTCGTCTTCGCCTCATTGGTTGCGATGAGGTGAGGTGAGGTGAGGTGAGATGTGCAAAACGTTGTTATGGGGATTTATTTTTGGTCATTCCCCACTTCCGTTCTCTGCTTTTATGCACTCGCGACGAGCACATAGCCGATGTATTTTCAGTGCGTCGCGTCATCATTTACCCTGGCCCTGTCCTATTCCAATCGTTTCGTCTCATTGAATCGTGTTTTTGCTGCTGCTGCTGCTGCTGCTCTTCTGTTACGACGACGAGCGGAGCGACTAAGCGCTGCTCCCCTTGCAAGCGCTGACCGGTTGTTGTGCCGCTGCTGTGCTACTATTACTCGACTCTTTGTTGGTATTGGCTGTAGTGGCAGTGGTGCGACGGCGGTGGCGGGTGCAGAGACTCATTCATGTGTACGCTGTGGCCGTCGCCGTCGTCGTCGTCACTACTCATTCATTCATTCATTAATCCGTAACTTGTCATAGCGTACACATCGTATAGTCGCGTGGCGCGCTTGAATAGTGGGACGTTGTATGGCGCGCATGGTGCACCATTGGGGCCGCAAAACAAACGATCAGCGGCTCAATTCGTGTTGTTGCATATACTCGTATATTCGGTGCAAACAAGCCGCACCTTTTAGCGCTTTGCCGCTTGCTGTGTTGTTCGTTCGTTTGTATGGCGCATTCGTTGCATTGTTGTAGCAGCGAAGTAAGAAATTTCCGTTATGACTGCATAGTTTGAATTTTATCCGCGCTGTTCGTCGACGTGTTATATTGTGTATCTGAAGTGTTGGTGGTTGTTGTCGTTGTGTGCGCGCGTGCGCTTGGCATTCCAAAGATTTGAGTTCGCTCATGCAATACTCAATTTGTGCCGTTTAGTTTGAAGCCGGAAGGTGGTGCGTGTGCGGGGTCAGTAGACACACTTTTTCCTACACCTGAACTAAAAACTGAACAATATAAGCGCATACATAAGTATATTATTTGACTAATGTTGTAGAGCACTAAATTATAAAAAAGTAGACTGTTAAAAATAACGCTTAAAAGTAATAAGAAAGAAAAATTATAAAATGGTTTAACAAAAATATCGCATCACATAAAATATAATATTATATTATATTATATATGTATGTTAAGAAAGTGCAAAAAAATCAACTTTTGACGTCTAATTTATCATCGCAATTTAATGCAATACCACTGCCACTACCACTGTCACCACTACACATACATACATACATATGTGCATCCACATGCCGTATATTATATTTCTCGCGTTTTGCGTTTTTTGCGTTTTAAATAAATTTAATTGGCAATATTAATAGTCGTCATTTGTCTACACACCTCGCCTCGCTTATAATCGCTACGGCTAGCTAGCTGTTTTGGGCGGGCAAAAAGCATATATTCGCGTCAGTTATTGAATTCTTCGGAATGATGTCTTTTTGATGTCCCATTTTCGGTTGCTTAAGCGTATGCAAACAATTAGAATTCCAAAATATTCATGCGCGTGTCGCTTTATTATAGACGCTTAATAAGTACAAAGAAAAATATCAATGAATATATAAAACAACAACAACAGCAACAATATTTGGTGTCAGTTTTTTTATTTAATTTAATTTTTGGTTTAGCGAATTCGGCAAAGTTCCAGCTACGTGTGGTTTTCAACTATCTGTGTGTGATTCAAACACATACATACAAGTACATACATGCATATATAGTGTTGATTTGTATATGTCTGAATATCTCTTATACCACGCGCAGGTCGGCTGCAGATACTTATGTTGAAATAAATTTTTTAGTCATTGAATTAATGAATTGGCTAATGACATATCGCTGGCTTCTTTAGTCTGCGTACGATTGTCAACGCTTGTTTCAATTCGGCGCAACTATTTAATATGCTGTGTTAAATTTGTGAAAAAACAAAACCGCCAAAAGCGAAGCCATGTTAATAAAGTGTTGTGGTAGAGAAAGAAGAAAAAACGTCAGTAAAGATGCGAACGCGTCAACGTGCTCAAATCATCATCATAAGATCATGCCGAACATGAGTTCATTAATGCCAAGATAACAAGCCAAATAAGAAACGAATGTGACCAGTAGAGAAAGCATGCACTGCGTGTGCATATGTGTGTATGTTCTAAGTACAGTTGTGCTGATCTTGACCTAAACACACAAAAATAATGTCTAATTTTTGTTAAGCATGAATTAATAATTACTTTCTTGCAGTGCTTAAATCTATAGACAACACATTTTCCTAAATGAATAATTCGGCTACAACGAAGCTATAATACCCTTCACAAATAGAAACATTTTCAATACAATAACTTGATTTTGATCGTTCAATTTGTATGTTAGCTATATAGTGATCCGATATCGGCGTTTCGAACAAATGAGCAGCGTCTTAGTGCGAAAATTATATGTGCGAAATTTCAGGTCGCTAGCTCAAACTCAAAGGGACTAGTACGCGTATATACAAACAGACAGATAGAAATGACTAAATCAACTCAGCACGTCGCGCTGAAATTCGTGGTAAACTTATATACCCTGTTCAGAGTATAAAAAGTTATCTTGGCAGGCATTATAATGTGCTCAATCTTTAAAAAACATATGTATATATGTACATCATACTTAAAAACGGTTATTTAAACACGAACTTCATACTCGTTCACAAAAGCGAGCCGAAATTGTGCTAATGACCTAGCTAAATGAATCTGTGACAATTCGCTTAACACACGTCAGTTGATATAAGCCAAAAAGTTTAACGTCATATCATTATATACATTTCTTAATCATGGCGGATGAACAATTCGTTTAGCACATGCACATGTTCGTGTATATACATATGTAGATATATGTGAGTATGTGGGTGTGCATGTATTATGTTTGCACATTTATATATGTATATTGTATATATATATGATTTTGAAATCTACATCCATCGCTTGCACGCATTCAGCGGCTGTCATGTGTGAATGGATGGTGGAGTCAAGTGATGCCTGCTGCCAACTTTCAAGCATATTGATTGATGCCGGCGGTTTCATCTTTATTTGAGTCGCATTTTCAGCCTATACTTCATTTTTATTACAAATCATATGGAACGAAATGATTTTCGCTATCGTTTCGGGAAATTGCCTAGCGCCAGCTTAATTATTAACGCTTCACCACCGTCTGTTAAACTTTGTAAGCGCTGTCTATCCAATCATATTTATATTGTGTGATAACTTTAAAACCTCAATGCATTACGTATCAGCGGCGCATAATCATTTTATGTACGCGCGCCATTACGCGCCGAGTCATGATAAAGTCCATTCTTCTCACTCTGGAAACAATTTGTCCGCGCAGCGATGATGAAATATTCGTAATTATTTAATTAGCAACATTTTGCAGATTCTTTTATGTGTTGCATTGCTATGTTTCAATTACTTTTTAATTACATCTATGTTAAAATAAATTCTAGTGTGTTTTTTGTATGAATTAATAAACATTGAGAAACAAGTGATCCACTTTTTTAAATTGCTTCCATTTGTGAGGCTGTAAATAGCGTTTTTCAAATAAAACAACTTGATGCAGCAAACAATTAAATATGTTTTAATACAGTATTAACTTTTTTTTACAAAGCAAAGAAATATAGCATTAAATTAACTAAAATTATTATGTGAACGACTGATAAAACAATCTGAGAAAATGTACATATGTTTGTATGTCAAATTATATACTTCTTCGTAATCATACTCTAGAGATCTATGAGTTAAGACGAGCGTATTGTAGTGGTTACCGAAATCTCTTTTGCTTTTCTTTCCCTAATTTTGTCATAATGTATGTATGTATGTATGTATGTTTGTATGTATTACACATATACTATATATGTATGTATGCTACTGGCACTACGTGCGTTGCGGTGACTTGTTGAGTGACAAGCGAAATAATACATTTCTGTGGTTGCTTTATGCTGGAACCTTTTCATTTTTATTCTTATCAACTGTTCAAAGCGAAGTTTTATTAAAAAAATGACTAAAAACTTTTTCTCTCAGCATAGTGAAATTCTTTTTAATTATACTTGTTTCCTTTTTTTTTTTTTGTTTTTCTTAGAAATCGGTACTATTTTGACTTTAACCTTGATGTGGAGCAAGAGTATGAAGCAGTTGCCAGCATTCATTTTTTTTTCCTAGCAACTAACTATGTACATACTTATCGAACATTTTAGAAATTACGAATTGCTGGATGTATGTGTGTGACGCGTGTTTGTGTTTTATTTATTTATTTTTTTTTGTTTTATCAAAGTTGTGCAGACTATTCAAATCTTTAATAAGATCAAGAATATACGGCTAAAATCTAAAATTCTAAATTTTTTATAATCTTTGTATGGGTGTTATTAGAGCAGTTGGTGCTTGGCGCTCGGTAGCGAATTCATTTGAATTGGCGCAATTTTGTTTGATTATTTATAAAAAAAAAAATAAGAAAAAAATTTTAAATCATGCCTGTACTTTCTGATAGAATTGTGTCATTCTTCAAAGTGGCTGCGAAATGTTGACATTTTCTTCTTAAAATATATTTTAGAAATTCATATCACAGCCAGCTTTGAGGAGCGTCGCGATTCTAAAGCATTAACGAAGCCATTAACAATAATAAACGAAAAATTACAAATTTTCGTTAATTAATTTTTTTTTGTAAGAAAAAATGAATAAAATATTGTTTAAAACAAAATTACTTCGTCAACTATTTGGAAAAAGTGAAAAGTGCACAAACAGCTTTCAAAATTATGTTATCACTATATTGAAACAAAAATGTGTAAATTGGTTTGGTAAAAAATTGTAATTGTTTGGTTTTATAAATTACGCATTTCATATTAGTAATTCATGCACCGTAATCATTACAACACATACCAAGTAGATTAACAGCCTTATAGATTATAATTTATCACAACAATAACAAAATACGTTTGTCTAAATCTCACAAAGTGGTTGTGAAATGCTCTATTTGAAACTGCATATCACAGCCAGCTTTGATGAGCTTAGCTGGACGTCTTCCTAAGAGCTGCACCAAACAAAACCAAGAAAATACCTAAACGAACAATCATGAAAATCTGTCACAAAAAAGATTACTACTCACTCGTATAACATGCAATTACAAAGCACATTCATACACACGCAAGTAGTGCGCGTACTCACACACTAGCAGCGGCCATAAGAACACTGTGCTCACACACGAAACGCTGCAGGATATTCCATTCTCCATAAATTGCATAAATGTCAACATCATCAACCATCAACTCGGTTAACCGGCGCTTGCAGCTTGGAAATGTCATTTAAAATAATAATAATGCAAAAATAAAAACAACACAAACAAAAGTTGAAAGTAAAAAGTGGCTATAAAATGTTGCTTATCTAAGCCTCATCAAGTGGTTGTGATATGGATTCTCAACGCATATCACAGCCAGCTTTGATGAGCTAGGATAATCAACGGGGGACAGCGTTCTACAAAAAAAATTATTTAAAAAAAATGAATTGGTTTGACAATATGTGCTTAATTAAAATAAAATGGGTGTTTAAAATGAAAATGAGAAATTAAAAAATTCGTTGGTGATTTGTTTTATGAAAAAAAAAATTAAATAAAAAAAACATCAGCATAAAAAACAAAATTACAATGCAAATTAAATTGCAAGTAAATTATTAAAAACAAAATTACAATAAAAATTAAATTGCAACAAAATTAAAGCGACAACAATTAATGAAGTAATTTTCTTAAAATTTTGAAAGACTCATCACTGCATTTTCACACAGTTATCGAATGCACCGATTTGTGTTTGCCTATTTTTATTTACAATTCATTCAACATTTTTGTTTTTTGCTTATCGCACATGTGTAATGTTTGCAGCTCATTCCACACACATACATACATACGTCATACCTTAGTCATTGGCAATTTAAAGCGAATCGCTGGTTGTGGCGCCGAGAATATTGCTGCACTTTGCCCCCGAATGAATGAGTGCTGCGTCAGTGGGACGAACGCACGGTACTTTCTCTAAGTTGTATACGTATGTACATATAAATATTTGTTCTATGCCTATGTGTGACGCATTTTACTTTCTTGAAGAATCTTTTATTGATTTTACAATACAAATTAGCAATTTGAAGATTTTTAGCAACTTTAAGTGCTTAGTTTAAAGTATAATTTCTCGTTGTCATGCTTTTGTAAATACTTTGAAATATAGACAACTACATAATTTTAAATAAAGGCAACGGGAATTCACAATTGAAGTATCGTTCTGGAATAAAAAATATCGTTAATAAAATAAAAATTATAAATATATGTTAACTTCGGTTGCACCGAAGCTATAATACCCACAAATGTAAAGGCTCCTTATAAGAACTTGATTCCGATCATTCAGTTAATATAGCAGCTAGCTGCTATAATCATTCGATCTAAACAATTTCTTCGGAGCTTACAAACTTCGTGGCAAACTTAATATACCAGGTTCAGGGTATCATAATATTGGCGCTAAGGAAAAGGTACTTCACTGCTGCAGTGATTTCATGAATGAATCCTAAAAAAAATTCCATTGGAAAATATTGTTCGTAAAATTAAATCATATCTACGGTTGGAAAAAAAAATTGATAAAAACAAACTTAAAATTTTTGATCAGATTTAAAAAATGTCAAAAAAATGGTAAGCAAATATGTGATCAGTTCATTTGACACCGCAGCAAATTCAAAAATGCTGTTGCGTGTTATGGTAGTATGCAACAAGTGTTCAAAATAAATGTAGTTTCAGTGATAAAGGATTCTCTTACATGCTTCGGAATGTAATTTTCTATAATTAATTATGAAGTTTTTTTTACAGAAATTTAATAGTTTTTTTTGAATTTCAGCATTAAATATTTGAGATTTTTACTTTTGCACATTTATTTAATATTTAAAAAATTTACAGAGTTTTTGACTTTTTTGTTTAACGTTTAATTTATTTTAATTTTCCAGATTTTTTATTGTTTTTAATATAAGCTTTTCACTTAGTTTGAACTATACTTGTTACAGATAGCTTAAAAAATGTAATTCGTTTAATCTTATTTTCGCAGGTATACCACAAAAACAACAAGGACTAACTGATTTTTTAAAACTTTGCAACATCGAATTTTGCCTGTTTTTACAATATTTATTAAATATAGATAATATAAGTCTAAAGTGTTTTGTAAACACATCTGTGTGTAGTTATGTCCGATTAATTGTATTCAATTGTATGAATAGTTAATATTTGTGTGAAAATACCGTTATAGCGTTATATTTGCGTACATGTCCGACAATTGTGATAGCAAGTTAGTCGTTTAGCAACTTGATTTAACTGTTTAATAAAGTCATACGTTCTAGTTACACTACTTACAGCAAAAGTGTAGAATTTTAAACCAAAAATATAATTGTAATAGAAGTGAAAAAAGCTGTGAAAGTCTTTAACAAAAATTTCGTATTATTTGTGGGCATGTATATTTCTGTAATAACTGTAATAATAACCTCGTAAAAGTAACTGAAATCAAAGAAATTGAATTTTAAGTAAACGAATGATAAAGCTATAAGAAAGTTATTAAAACTTATTTAAGTTCTCTTGTCCATTTTTTAAGTAATTAAAACCATAAAATCAACTGAATTCCACTTCGAATAATTTCCATTCCAACAAACAGTATTTTGTGAACTGAAAACCAAAACTGATACAAGTTTTCAACTCACACATCCTACTTCGATTCACTCACTCACTCAAGTATTGAACACATTCTCTTAATTAAGTAACTTTATTTCTATAAGCAAACTAAAAGCTAATACTCAACATCATGTCTTTGCTCAAGCGCAAATGCACGCTACTCTTTAGCGTCTGCTCGTTGACTCTAGTGCTCGCTTGCTTTTTGAAGCAGCCGACTACGGCTAATGCATGCTCTAGTCGTTCCATACCGAAACCACGCACGCTCTCCTCGGCCGCCTCATCGCTTTCGCCACAAAAGTCGACTACGACCACGACCACAACTACCACCACCACAACCACCACAGAGCCGACCACTACTACCACAACGACACCAAGACCAAACATCACCTTCCCAACCTACAAATGTCCGGTGAACTACGACGCTTGGTATTGTTTGAATGATGCCACCTGTTTCTCGGTTAAGCTGGGAGATTCTGTTATGTATAATTGCGAGTGCGCAAATGGTTTTATGGGACCACGCTGCGAGTACAAGGAGTACGATGCATCCTTCTTGCCGAAACGACCACGTCCCATGCTGGAAGAGGCAAGTATTGCAAGCGGCGCCATTTGTGCCCTACTCTTTGTGCTTTTCATCTGCTTGACTTTATATCTGCGTTATGAGCAGCGCGCCAAGATATTTGCTGAGGATTACGAGATCACCGACGTCATGGAGGACGATGACGAGTTTGAAAACAGCTATTTCTCCACGAAGGCATGTCGCTACTGCAATGAGCCGCAATGTTGCGGTGCAAAGGCTGGAGTCGGTGGTGATGTTGGCGATAACGGTATGCGTGGTCGTGTATATGGCGCGACCGAGGGCGGCGTTGGTGCACCATCGCTGCGTCGTTACATTGAAGCGATTTCTATGTCATTTGCCATCAGGCGCACCACCAAAATGTAAAATGAGAATTAAACGAATATGAAACATAATTTATATAAAGAAAGCATAAATAGTATGGTTGTTGTATTGTATTTGCGAAATTTATAAAACAAAAAAAGACGCAAGAAATTTATCCTGCGCTGAATAATAGTAAAAATTTGGTCTAGATCTGCATTGCAGATAATTTTGAAGAATTTTAGTTCATTGATAGACAAAATAAAATATTGAATTCTTTGTACATTCAAAAATAACTAAATATTATATAAATAACTAAGATTAAACAAAATTTTAATAATAATAAATTTAACTTGAAAGTACTTAATTGTTAATATTTTCCATTGCAATTAAATTATCTGTACTTAACAAATTACGCTATGTGAAAAAAGTAACAATTTTTTGGCAAATACAACACTACAATCAACTTTGAAAAAATATAAATATTAAATAAGCTTTGTTAGACTTTAAGCTAAGCTAGCAAGCCAATTAATTAACTTTTAACTGTACCGTTTTTTAAAACACATCAGTTTTAGACTAGTGATGACTAAATGCCTTCGAGTGCTTTATATACAACACATATACTCCTGAAATCTCTTCATATTTCAACTAAAAAGGAAGTCCATTTTCATAAATTCTTGACATCACAGCACATTTACATATACTCGTATACAACACAAACAAACATACATTAATTTCATTTAAAGCTTAATATTTATGAAATTTCACCACTTAAGTCCGAAATCAACTGAATTTACGAAATTTTTTTACAAACCTTATTTAATACATTAATATATACGTGATATTTATTTATTTATATTGCAGCGTATTTTATGAGAACTCATATTAATTTATCTTGCAACATGCAAAAAGTATTATTCGTGTCAACTATTGTACACACCTTCTTTTATTAAATAATATGCAAATTAAATAAAACTGCACAAAGCTATAAACTTTTGTTTTAATTTCTATGGAGGGGAGAAGGATATTTATAAATTTTCATGTCAATGGTTTGATCCCCAAAAAAAAATTTTTCCATTGTTTAAAAGAAAACTTCGGCATGAAATTTTTTAGCGAGTTACTCGCTTTTTATTGCCCAAGTTATTAAGAAATAAATGTCTAAAATTGCTGAGGTGATTGCGGCCTGGTTGAATGCAAAATTGTTAAAGTATGATAAATCTATAAGTTACCATATAACATATGAGGCATATACAATGACAGTTCGCGCAACTTCGTTCTGGATACTGTAGCAGGTTAAACTCCTACTTAACCAGAATCTACCCCGACGATACCAAATATATGTCCTGCATACAATGAGGTTCCGCATGATACTAACCACCTCTTTGCGTGCCCAACGAACCCCTATGGTCTGACCCCATCAAAACAGCTCCTTTCCTGGGCCTACCATTAGAGGACCTTGAGGACAACTAAACTGAAACCTACCACCCAAGCGTGGAACAACAACAGACGATTAGTAAAAAAATATATAACAAAATGGAAGACTTTGAAAGAGAATCTCGAATTTTGCCAAATTTAAATTTTTTATACAATCAAAGACGAAGAAACATACAAAATAAAAAGAAAAAATTGAAGCGACCGTGTGATTTATTTTCGAGTTACAATTGCAGCCAATTTGAAAAAAGAAATTTAGAAAAAAACGCATTTGAAGATGAACTGTTGGAGCTGAGTGAACTCAGCGGCTAAAATTTAGGAGCCTGTAATATTTGAGATGTCGATTTAAGATTTTAGTATGTTTTTTTTAAAAGTATAAACTATCAAAAAATTTAAAAACAACTTCATATCTTGAAAAACTTAGATATCTTGAGAGGTTGCCTTTACGATTTTGCGAATTTTGAAATGTTGTTGGATATATTGAATATCTCTGAATAAATTATGTACATACATATATTCCATTTTTTTTTATTTACGAACTTTTCTAGCTGAATAAATTACCAAAATTGATCTCCAAAAAAATTGTTACTCTTAAACATTAGCTTTTGGTCCATTAATCTATTTAAAATACTGCATTCTTGAAAATTTATGGTAAATAATTTTTCAGATTCCTTAAATTTGCGAATATTAATCAACTTGAAAAACTAAATCAAGCCACAGAAATGTAGTTTCTTCTACTAAGCATAACCTCTTAATTCTAAAGAATGTCATTGTTTTCTACTTCTTTATGTTTCATTTTACGATTTGTGTCAAGAATTGGAAAAGTGCTGCCAAATACTTCAAACAGTGCCTCTCAAAAAATATCAACTCAGAGTGTATGTTATCTATGTTTTCAAGTATATTGGCTTCAGTAGCCATGTGCAATGCAAAATCTTATTATAGTATGCAATGCAAGTAAAACGGAAACTATAATCTGGTAGCCTTCAGTAATAGGAGTGCTAGTATACCTAACTTTTAAAGTCGCACTCAAAAATTTAACATATCAAACATATTTATTCTAACAACTATGGAAACTGATAAAAGCAAATAATTTAGTTTCGTATTCGTGAGGTTAAAATTGTATTTTTGTTAACTTTTTTATATATTCTCTAATGTTACACGTTATTATTCACTAAATATTCGTTTGATCTACAAACGACTATAAAACAAGCACCACATAGGTCCATATGCGGTCAACACAAATATAATAATTGTGATAATCTCCAAGAGCAAACGGAAGTCCATATAAGTCGATGCGTCTAACGAGTAGTCGTTAAATAGTTGCGTCTCGAACGAGTAATACATGCTCAGCATAGCCAATGTGAACGTCATTAAGCCAATAATATTGTGCAATGTTTTATTAAAACGTGGTTGTAGGCGACCCTTAAGTTCGGCGGCGTAAAGTGAGCTGAGACCGCTTAATAAGCTGATAAATAAAATAACCATGGTAGCCAGACCTACAAAGGTAAATGTTTGTATTTATACCACTAACCAAATAAACAAAATTTAAATACACAAGCACACACACCTATCATGCCGTGACGCGTGTGGAAGTGCGCCTCCTCCAGACACATTTTAATCACGATGCCTATGAGACCAATTATGGAGCCGCACAACTGCAACACCCAATGTAAACGTGCTTTCTCCGGCCGGTGACACACTTGTGTCCAAACGTTGCCACGATAGTAGGCCATCAGACCTTCGGACATCAAGCAGAGAAACTGAAAACGGTAAATATTTGAATTATCTTCACTTTTACTCATGTGATCTAATCATTATTCTCTTTACTTACGCCCAGTGTGCAAAACACCGCATGCCATGGAATATCCTTACTATCCAAACGCAGACTCATCCAACACAAATAAACTGTTACGAAGCCGATTAGCAGCCGATTAACGAGCGTCAATACGAATTCGAGCTTTTGTGTAAGTGTGAGCGTGGCTGATGGAGCGGGTGGATGTGGAACACGCCGACCGCCGCAGCCCACTTGCGCAGGTGTGCTGCTGCTCACATTGTGACAGTGTTGCGGCGCCGTACTTTGTGGTGCAGGTGTGTCCCTAATGAAATGTATTCTAACATTGCTTACTTTGTTCACTACAAATTTGCCGCGACGTGTCATTTCGATTTCAACCTAGCTTTTGGCATCTATCTAAAAACAAAAGATTTTGGTTACACTGTAATTTGCGCAAAAACTAAAAAATCGCATGGTTTGCGCTCCGGCTGAGAGCGTGTTTCGCCTATTACTGTTTTTGCAATCATTGTGTTCTATCCGAAATTATATTTCAATATGTAGAAACACGTTCCGCGGAGTATCATCATCGACTTCCATTGCATGTGGCTGATTGCGTCCCCACTCCACAACGACATCGACTCGTGATTAATATGCTTGTTTTCTTATTTTCGTTTTGTAGTTTTTATCTTTGCTTCTCAATGTCTTTATCAGTGTGTCAAGCCGCAGCTATGTACTGGCAGGCATATTGCAACTGTGATTGATTTTGCGTACAGCCAGAAACTTTCTTGGCAACTTATCGGCGGTTGCACCTTTGCCGCTGTTTAATTAAGCCACTCTGCCCTCGCTGTCGATATGCTCCGATGTTTATTAATTTGTTTTATATGAATGCACTTGGTTGTGTCTTCGATGAAATCTAAGATCTTTGCGCGGATAGCTTGAACTTTGTTGTGCGTTCTTGTAATTTACCATAAAGTATCTGTGTTCGAAGTTTGGTTTGTTATCTTATAAGTTAGTTGTCTTAGTTGTTCAACAGAAATCTACAACAACGTTAGGGTTGTAGTAGTACCAGACTATTATTTCTATATTGTATCGATTTCGTAGTTAGACGTAACCTTCAAAAAGCATGTATATAATTACGAATGTCAAAAAATTTCAGGATCTGTTGACCCCGTAGTCGATTTCCAGGAGAATTTCTGATAAATGGTGTCTGGCGGGGAGGACGATTTTTCTGCTTAAAATTAACTCAAATCCAAAAACCAAAAAAAAATGTATTATAACAATAGATGAATACAAGTAATGAACAAAGGACTCAATTTTCTGTTTAGATAAAATTACGGCTTCCTTAAGAAACGTAGTTTTCTTTGAAAAAATTACACTTCAGAATGCTTTAAAAATTCGAAATTGTTATCAAAAATCGTATTTCTTCTTTATATATCTGAGAAGGTCGTGTGAACATTTCAAGTCGTTTCGGAAAAACTTTTTCGCGGAGTGTGAAAACATCGTTTCGAAAAAACCCTTTTCGTGAGCCGACTATACTAAGTTAAAAAATTCTTACACATTCGCTCTTCTCTCTGAAACTATTTGCTGGATAAAATAGAAATTTTCGGACATTGTTTTTAAATATATATACATTCAATACTGCATTTGATTGTAAAAAAATGTTTACGAAATGTCAACGTTTTTCGCAACCTGAAGAGGCAGTTGATGCGTTCAGAACGCATGTTTTGGAGATACCTCAAACAGTGTGGCAAAAGTGCTTCGACAATTGATTTAAACGCATCATAATGTATAAATCTTATTAAAGAAAATTTTGAAAAACAATAAAGCGATTTCGATTATTAATATTGGTTTTTGTTCTATAATCCCGAAACATAAAAAGCAACCCTCACACAAGCAAAAAAAAAGATGTATTTTGTGAAATTCACAAGTGGATATAAGAATCTGAAATCAAAAATGTAATGGAGCTGCCGATTTTGTAGTGAACTTTCAGTAATTCAATATATTTGTTTATTTTCTAAACTACTCAATAAATAAAATGACAAAATTTAAAAATCCCCCTTAAAAAAAGTTTAAATTAAACTGTGCATTTAGTATTTTTAGGTTTTGTTTAATATTAATTTTAAATGATAATAATAAATACAATTTTATGAGAATGTTATGAAAAATTGGAATATACTTTGTAAACTATATCTATCTCATTTATATATCGTTTAAGGGCAACCAAATAAAGACTGTCAACAAAATATATGTAATATTAGTCTCTTACAATGATCTGGATCTTCTGCAGCAGCGCCTTAATTGGTCCAATACAAGAGAGCACCAGCGAAATGAGCGTTATGGTTTTCATACAAATGTGGAGCGTGGATCCATCTGTGTGAACTGCTTTAAAGAAACCCGTTTGATAACCATAATATTGTGTTGTAAGCGCTAGTACGAAGCAAGCGAATCCGATCAAGTTGTGGAATGTGCGATTAAATATTGGACGAACACAGCGCTTCAATTTGAGTTGATAAAGCGCGGTTAAACCACTTAACCAGGACACCAAGCAGAGGATAAATGTGGCGAAACCTTAGCAGAGAAATGAAAACAATTTAAAACAATAAGTAAAATCAAATAAATTGTGTCTATATTTTCTACTTTATATAAATTAAGCAACTAAAAATAAATATAATTGGAAATAACATTATTTAATATTTACACAATAATAAATAAAAATATAAAAATAAAAAATTATTTTTCAGCCACTTACCCAGCTTGCCGTGTGTGCTCGTTAGCAGAAAACCCTTCTGTATGCATTTATATAGCGTACCGCCCATGCCCAGTCCGCCGCCTGCCAGCTGTAGCACCCAGTGTATTGTGTGCTTCTCATGCCGTTTGTAGTGTGACGTCAGCGGATTGGCGTTGTAGTGTATCATCACCGCTTCGGCCATCAACAGTGAGTACTAGGCGAACAGAAACGATAAGTTGGTGAATGTTGCGCTGAGTAACAAAAACTTCGTATGCCATCGTTGCATACTTTTAGGCACTTATTGTGCGTGACTATTTTACGCGATATTTTGTACGACGCTAAGCTAGTGCAGCGTGCATGAGCTATAGGCGAACACACACATACTTAAACATGAACAAAAAATTGCATATGTATTGCATATTAGCATACCAACAATTGTAATTGCATTTTATTTGACAAATACTAGCTTCGGTTGTGTCTACGTTGTTGATGCTTTTTTTCCACGACATATTTACTTAAAAAAAAGTTTTTTTCGAAATGAAATTTAAATTTAAATAAACAGGAGGCCCTTTTAAAAATATTTTTAACCGTAAGCCGGCTTAATTTTTTTGTTTTGTACCAAGTGTGCATTAACTAAATAAAACTAATTTTTTTTTACTGAAATGGGTACAATTAAAATTTCATTTCGAAGAAGCAATATCTAATACAATACAATTAAAACGATTTGAGAAGGCTTACATGTGACAATATTTTTTAGGAGTTACCATCTGTTTACAAATTTCGGTGCAATAACATTTAAAAGATAAAGGAATTTATATAACAACGATGTTGAACAAAAGAGGCTTAAGCAGACTAACAATTAAAAATTGTTGAGAAGGGTTGCCACCTAATTAAAATTTTATTTCATACAATTTTTTTAAATTATTGCGATTCGAATATAAAACTAAACAAATTTAATAACGGTTTATGTCAGAAATATTTTGGTAAGGGTTGCCACTAGTTTTGCTGTGTATTTTGTGGGTTTTGGAAAGAAAATCTATTATGAGCTGCTTTTTAACGGCCTTGTACCGTCAACAATTAGATCGTCTGAAGGGAGCAAAAACCCAGCAGCGGTCAATGGGAGGTGAATTTTGTCTCAGGACAACGCCAGGCCACACACATCGAGGGAGGGTCTTATGCATACACCTTATAGTCCGGACATGGCACCAACTGATTAATACGTTTTTTCTGCCTATGGCGAATGACTTTGCTAGTGAAAAGTTGGCCTCCAGAGAAGTTACTGAAAATCGTATATATCGGTTTTTTGCACATAGACATGAGGGCTTCTATAAAAAAGGCACTATGAAATTGCTTAAAAATTTCCTGTTAATTTTGACTTGCGATGGCAGTGTCTGGCTTGCGCTGTCTCACTTAAACTAAGTCGTAGCTATTTTTTTTCATTTACAGAAATATGTTGTTGTTATGAAGCTCCGTAGTTAAATTTTTGGTCACTCTGGTCTATAGGACGTAAATTTAATGAAACCGGAAGTGTGTCACAGTTTTCAGATTTATAGCATTAATGCTTATTTGTGCCGTTATTTGTGAGGGATTTTTAAGCCACTTAAAAGTCACTAACATTAATCTGATACACTTGTGTTCGCAAAAATATATATAATTAATATAATATTATGTATCAATTCAATGAATTACTGTGCTTCTTCAACTGTTTTATGACTTTGCTACTGATCACAAAAACTGATTTAAACCGTAGAACGTATCTGACATATCCGTGCTCCACGGTAATAGCCTATGTTATACACATGTATTTAAATATAATATATTTACATCACTACGATCACTTACACCGAGTGTCACCAACCACGCATGCAATGGGGTTTTATTCAAACCTCTGCTGATGCACAGCCAGCTCATGTAGATGGTCACAAAACCGATGCACATTTGGTTCAAAATAAACAGAAATGTTTCGAAACGTTGAAATGCAGCCGTCTTCCATATGGGCTTCGAGGCGGTGGACTTCTCATCGATGTACGATTCCATTTTACTGTAGGCGTAACGCGGATAGCGGGATTGGCGTGTTTGAAAGCGCGACGGCGAGGAAGCACTACTTGCGGCAGCGAAAAGACTTGAAGTGTAAGTTGTAAGCGGGTTTGCGCGACTTTGATAGGCGATATCGGGTCCACTAGTTGTCGCACTGTCACTGGAATGATAATGCTCCACCGACTGATCACTATTGATGTGATCGCTGTTCTTTTCGCACGATACTAGTGCAGCTTCGTCGGTCGCTATGTGTATATCAGCTGTTGATTCTTGACCGTTAGTTGAGGAAGCGCGATTTTTTAACGTTGTGCTGCCATAGTCACTGTGCTTTGAACTGATCGTTGAATCGAGGCGTTCCGTTGAAGCCAACATTTTTTGTGTGAAATAGAGTTGCTCGTTTTTAAATTTGTATACGTGTGTTCGTTAGTTAGTGTGTTTGACGATCGTTTATTTTGATAACTTATTTAGTTGTATATTTTTGATTTCATTTCATATATTTTTATTGCAGTGCTTAATGCTGTCTGTCTTTATTGAGCTTATCAAATGAAAATTTCGAAATTAATGACGCTTAAAGCCATTCGGATCCGGTCACTTTTACGAGGTGTCAGTCATATTGATAAGATGTGACTACTTGAACGCTTAATTTCTAAACATTCCTTTAAGCAGCTGTCAAAACAATGTATTTGCAAAAAAAAAAAATAGGTTACAGACGCACATTCGTGTGTCTAAAATGGAACTTATAAATAGCTGTAATTGACATACATAAATCTGTCCTATAAAAAATGTATTACTTTACTACAAAATACAGTTACTAGTTGGATCTTTGTTTCTAAAATTATTACTATTATATTGTTTTCATAAATCGTCCGCAAACAGCATAGTGGCCCAAAATTAACTGTCTTCAAAGTGAATTCCTTTCCAGCGTTACTGACCTTTTCAAGAATTTCAATTGAACGTTCCCTTATATCAATTAGAAGAGGCATCAAAGTAAAACTGTCAAAATTTATCTTTTTTTCGCAAATTATTCTAATCTAGCGACATTAACTCATCTAAAGAATCCTAAGGTTATCTTAAAATATGTTTAAATTTGCTAACGATATAATTTTCAAATTGGTGAAGCTGTTTTTTATGCATTTTGGGAGAAAATTTGCCACAGTATGTTAGGGTATATATTTTTTATACCATAAATGGTAAATATTTCAAGGAACATAAAGCCTACCAACATGTTAAAAAAACAGAAATTTTGATGCAAGAATTTTCGTTGAAAATTAAGTCAAAATACTTGTAGGCTGAAAAAATAAATATTTCAAAAATAAAAAAACAAAATTAAAGTGTGTTTGAGACATAAAAAGTTAAGTTTAAAACAAATTTCATGAAAGAAAAACACTTTTCTTTTTATAAAATTTATTTGAATTTTACACATAAATTTTAGGTTGTGTAAACAAATGTTGAAAGTTGTAAATTTTTTTTGGAGCCTCAACTTTGCGATTTAACATTTTTTATACAACGCGTAGTTTTGCCGGCTATACTAGATATACTTTTTTTAACTCTTAAAATTCAACCACCCCTCCCCTCGCTTTTCCCGACTTACGACCGCCCGAAAATTATTTTCCTTTCATTTTTATTTTTTAATCTTCCATTTTCAATAGGTTTCATCTCAGCATAAAATTTTTTGTGATTTTCGGCGCTGGTCTATAGATTATATTTTCTAAAAATATACTTTTTTTTTATAAATGTGTTGCACAGTGTTTGTACATACACACATAAGTAATCTATTCCAAGGAAATTGCAAGCTTTTTGCGTTAGTTTAAGTTGCTTGCAAAAGATGTCACGTTTTTAATTGTTGTTGCTTTACAAATGTTTACAACGAAACGAATGCAATTTTACAAAAAGGTAAATACCAATGTGGACACAAATGGGAGTCGCATACATACATACATACATATGTATGTATGTATACTGGCACCTACTAAAAATAAAAAAATTATTGCTACAATTGTTGTTGCAAGTGAGTTCTGAGAAATGGGCAGCTTTCGAGGCGTCATATGCTAATCTATCTTATTTGTATGTAATACAATGGAGGTACACACATCATACATACATATACTCATAGTAAATAAATTTGCATATTTGTTTATGCGAATATACAGTTCGTTATCTAAAAGATCGCTTTAAGCTTGATGCTTCATTTTATACAACATTATACATTCCGTTTCAATTGTAGTTGGTTTGTTTTTGAAATTTTACATAATTTGGAGTGGTCTCACTTTTTCGGCAGCAACCGGCGCGTGAACACCATTTTCCGGCATTTCGAATATTTTTTAATTTCGCCGTTTTTATTTGAAATTTGGTCGTGATATTAACGAAAATTGTCGTCAGAGTGAAGTGAAAGATATAATATTGGAAGAATCGATCGATTTTAAGTGCACAATACGGGATATCCCAAACTACTTCAAAGTCTGTTGAATACAATTCTTTGAAGACGCATTAGAAACGGATGGATGATGTCGCCAAATACCAAGAATCCAAAACTAAATTAACGTCTAATCTTTGGGTATGTATTGAAACACGCGCATGTGTACATATATATACCATAAACGCATCATAACACAATTACAATTTTATAACGAATTTCCGCTAGACACACACACACGCTTATACGAAGGTTACATATCTGAAATATAGTAACAATTCCATGGAACACTTATATCATAACTATTATTGTACATATCTCATACAAGCGATATTTTCCATTGAATTTTTGATAAGCGCGATCAAAGTTTGAATTGAATTTACACATATGCACGCAATAAAGAGCTCGCTCGACACGTGTTTCTATCAAAAAAGTTGACACTGAAATTATTGTAGATTTTCGAAAGAAGAGCAAATTACATTTACACGTCACAATAAAAATATAAAAGTTGAATATTATTTATATTACGTAAATATTGCGCATCCACCCACCGCGACTGTCGCAAGTGCACTGATAAGCTTAGCGAGTCAAGAGCTGTCAGCTGCTGATCTCTCTCGGCTAAAGCCACACGATGCACTTTGTTGTTAACCTTATTATTTAAAATCCGAACAAGTTTTCGCAAAATAGTAATAAGAACAAAGCAGAGACACAGTTATATACACATAAATGTACATAACATGTAAACAAATAAGCATACTGGTTTTACAAAAATTACACAGAATGCAGCTGAGTGGGGATTTACCTGCATTGAACGGTGGGTCTTTACATTAGGCCTCTCCATAAAAATGTTGCGCAAAAGAAGAGCAAATAAAATGAAATAAAATACTATAAAGTAATTCACATTCGGGAATAAATATTGCAGAGCGCCGGAGTAACCAATGCAGCTTAACTGGCTTAAGGCCAAGAATGATAAAAACATGCATATATGTATCTCTATCATACTTGCTATAGGCCCATGGAGGCAGGAGATGAGTGAGTATTATTTCAGAAATATGCGAAAACAGACCAAAGTAATAACGAACAGCCACCAGAGATGATAAGAGATTTTTGGTTCCGCTGCTCGGTTATCAAATCACTCTTGTTTATAGTTAAATATACTTGTATTACGAACGATATATCAATTTACGAATATCTAAATATTCCCAGTGAGTAGTACTCGTTTCCCTCACATTTAGGGACCAATATACCAAGGGTGTGTCATACAGCTTCAATTTCATCTAAACAGTTACAGTTCTCTTTACATGAGAACCTCTAAATACTAATCGGTAAGTTACTCATGTATCACATTTAGGACACACCTCTAGGTGACTAAAAATTCTTTTATTATTAGCTATTTGATAGCGATATTGGAGTGTTTCAGCCGCAAAGGTTATTGCAATTTCTTAACCTTTAAAGTTCAACTGCATTTTCACGCAATACAGCTGAAAAATAACATTACAATTATAATACTGGGGCTATAACTAAAGGCGTTTTCAGATGCAAAATCTGTGGTTTCTGCTAAACATGTGAACTTAATATTACTATGTTGTTGTAGCCGCCAAATATTAATACGAGTTATTTAATATTCTATATTTCGAGATCATTGCGGTTGTTTGCGCAAGCAGAAAAGAAACGAAATAGATACAGAAATATACACATACTGTTTGTTTGCATGTATGTAGAAGTATAAACCCCAATTTTTTTTGAGTTAGTTTTTATAACTTTAGTAATTTTTAAGAATTCTTTAGTGCATTCGTTTGAACTCTAAAATCACGAAGTTAGCTCTTCAACATTGTTATTGGTGGTAAAAAAAGTGCAGGTAAGGAACCACTCTACGTAAGAAAATAAACTGATTCGCAATGATAACCATATTCTACTCCTGCCAAAATTTGTGCGTGTGTTGAAAAAACACCACGTTTTGAAAATAACATTTAAGCACATTTTCCAGTAATTAATCTTGTGTGGATGCAATAAAGCAATTATAAACTGAGAAAGTGTTAATCTCAAAAACCGGTTTTCATGCACGTGCAGCCGTAATAATAAACAAAGTTATAATATAAATATTTACAATAAAACCAGGAGATTGCCATTGAACTTATTAGCTTCTGTACTAGCTTTTTAGTAGTGTGATTAGTGCTCCAGAACTTTTCGACTTCACATATATGCATATGTACGTAGTATGTCGTTAAATAAAAGTTAATTAATTGGCTTCGAATATGAGGCCATTGACTTATGACGTTAAGTTCAAATTAAAACCTTTTCCCATCGGTATTTATTTAATAACCAAATATTTTATTTTTATTCGGCTATATGTGGCAAAACTCTCAATTTTATGCATTTACTAGCAGGTTCTACACATTTTAAACGGAATGGTTTTTACAAGCAGATTCTTGATGGCAGATATAATTGTACTATACTCGAGGGTTTAAGAGAAAGTTCGTCCGTCGAGATATGATCATAGTCAGCAAATCTTTGACTATAATATTTTGCTTTATTTATTATTTATGATCCTTAAAATGAGAGACTTAAGCTACTGTGCTAGAAAACATTTCCATTTATTGCAACAAAAAAAGCGTTAGCTTCGTTTGCACGGAAGCTTTAATAACCTTCACATAAAAAAGTAAATAACTAGATTATAAACGTTTAGTTTGTATGGATTAAGAATGTAAGCTATCGGTTTTCATGCACGTACATGATATATATTGTATATATATCCTCTTATATATACATATATAGTATAGTATCGGTGAGCTTTAGCTCTTTCTCAGCCCTAATCTAACTTTATTAATGCCTTTAGAAACTTTATTTTGGACATCAAATGTTTTCATCCTGCTAAAAAATTCGACTGCGTTACTTACTTTATTGTCAAGTTTTATCCAAATTTCCTCATTTTCATATGCTTAGCCACACGGAGGAACCAGCTATATTAATTTCCCATTGTGAATGTCAAGTTTATAGGTCTGTCTTAATTTTTTTATGCCCAACAATAAACCAATAAATGTCACCGGCTTAATTGTTTTCTTTTATCAAAATTATGCATAAGAATCTTAATGGTTCGCCGTCTGCGACAGGTGAGTAAGCAGCAATCGAAAAGATTTAAAAACTGGCCGACGTGTTTGATGCACGTTTTTTGATAAGCTATAAATATCGATATCGGGTTTTTCCGTGCTAATCGCAATCGTTTAGTAGTAATAATTTAACAGGGTGGTAGAAAGATGGAACTCGTTTAACATAAGACAGACATAACTAATGGTATCTAATGGTAGATACACAACTTGAAATAAAGGTAATTTATGCACATACACACAAGCGCGTTTGTATATGTACATATATTTCGTACTGTATTTGAATTTCTAAATGAATCGCAAATTATCGCGTAGATAAAAATGCAAAAGAAAACGTCAGGGCCGGATTTTAGCCAATTGACACTTACTTGTATATAACTGTTCTTTATTACTTTCTGATTACAAAAATGATTGGCAAATTTAAAAAAAATCTATTTTCAGTTTCTTCAAACGTGCTTGATTAGACACAGCACTAAATGTGGCTTTTGAGGTCCCTTGACTTACTTTACTGTTATACAGTTTTTGCAAGCAGAATTTCGAGATCATTGCGTGTGCTTGTTGTAACTTTAGTGCAATTCAAAGCACTAATCTATACTCTTGAGTGAATGCGAATGATATACTCGTACCAATTTTAGATACACATACATACATATCTACATACGTACTTATAAGCATACGAGTATACTGATTTTACTTTCAAAACACCGTTTATGAGTACAAGTATAAAGCGAATGCAATCTGACATTGACTGAGTGTTTTGCCTCCAATTTTTTCTTTCATTTTTTTTTTAATTTTCGCAATAATTAGCAAAATTGGAATGTGTTGTACTTGCCAACTGTACGAGTAAATTCAAATTTATGTAAGTATATAATTATTGAATTCTAATTCAAAAAAAAAAAGCGGCGCTTATGAATAAGAATTGGCAAATCCTAAACCCTGAGAACCAAATGTGTGTTTATATAAGTATATCAAATAATTTAAGTTAAATTGCATTTGAAATCATAGTAATAAAAGACATAATTCTTAAAGTAGCGCTTTTATGAGTTCGAAAGGATTAAACACTCAAATAACTAACATAAATTACAAAATAGTAAAGGTGGCAAGTTTCTAAAATGGTTATGAGTTCAAAGTGTAATAACTGAGCATTATTTTGGAATCCAATACTCTAACGAAAGGGCTAACTTTTATTAATGTTAGAACTATTTGCCCCGGACTCACAAAAAAATGGATTTTTACGTCTGTAAAATAGGCACCTGAGCCAATACCTGCTGTCAACGATTAATCCAATTTTCTATACACTTGTTATAAGCCTCGGCTGGGATGGCCTTCAATGCCTTCAGCGAATTTAAGTTTTTTCGGTTTCGACAGTTTAATTTTTAGCGCTATTCGCTAGAATGTTGGACAGTTTCGACGATATATCTATAAACCGACGTCTCGTCACTAGTAATGATGCTTTTGATGTATGTAGGGTCCACAATTGTTAAGCATCTCTTTGCGACCTTTACTCGACGTCGTTTTTCCAGACGATTCAGGTCTATCCCACGAGTTTAGCATTAAACCACAAAAATTTTCAAGTCAACCCATAAGATCCTGTCCAATAGGCATTAATGCGCTAAAGCTAAAAATCTTGTTACACGCAAGTTGCTAAAGTTTTATGGAGGAGGGTTAGGTGGAAACATCCAGGCACTTTTCCCTCTATCGCCCAGCCTTTGCAAGACTGAGGTTGACCAGGAGACATAGCCGAAACTGACATTAGCCGTCCAAAGATAGATTTGTGATAGGTTGACAGTATTATGATCTATTATACAAGTATAGGAGTTTTAGGTACCACTACCGACTGGCTTAAAGCTGTACAAGTGAGAAGCCTGCAAGAATCGGCCTTGTAACCTAACCTACATCTGGATATCAAACTTCGCATGAACATAAAAACGGACCAGTACGGGTTAAATTTAAATGGACCAGTACGGGTTGAATTTGATCAGATTGTTTACTGGTATAATAAATTATTATTATTTGGATTCGGTGAGAAACTTTTCATGTCTAAAACAGCTTTACTTAAAAAGGTTTCGTAAATTTTTCCTACAGGCAATAACTAATTTAATAGCTGAAATAATAATCAGCGGAAATAAATTATCGTGTAGAATTATCACAAATCAGTGAACTAAAGCACTTGAATTGGTCAAAATATACGCACATACATATGGACATATATACATACAAGTCAATAGAAAGATTGATTTCAATCTTATGTTTTCAAAACATATGCTTGTTCAAGCTCATTGACTTATTAGTTAAGTGTTGGGAAAACCTAATTAATTAATCAATGAGCTTTTGAAAACATAAGATAGAAATCAGCATTTCTATTGACTTTACCAACCAATGTTAACACTTTATAACTATAAATAAATTAATTATTAAAGATAACAAATAATAAAAAATTCAAATTAATTTTCATTGAATTTTTTATTATTTATTATTGGTTAACAGGTGAATTAACCACACCCAACATATAGCCATTTAGTGCCGCAAGGAACTCGCGCAGTTCTTATACCATTTATGGTACATACATACATATGTATACATTCATATATACAAGTATGTATGTAACGTCACCAATTTTGTTTTTCTGTGTTGATTAGTTGCACACTTTCGCTAATTCATCCAAATAGCTGGGGGTTTACCAACGCTACGCTCACTGGCCGCCAATGAAGCTGGATTGTGACGTCACTTCGTATCGTAAAATTCTGTGTACAAGTTTAGCCGATTCTTTGTAAATGTTTAATGCAAGCAACGTGGTTGTGACGGCAGTGAGCTTTTCAAATGAGTCAAAAATGTTTTTCTTTTCTTTTTTTCTGTAGTAAATTTAAAATGATCATTTGTGGCTTGAAAGGAGCGCTACGCCAGTTCAGTCGTGTTGCAAACTCAATAAGAGGAAGTCGTTAGTGCGCGAAATCGTTTAATCTAACATAAAATTATTTTGGAAGTGGTTTTGTTGGTGTGACAACAAAAACTGTGATATAGCTATAGAATATAATTTAGTTTAAAATTGCGGTAAATAAAAAATAAACCGCCAAGAAGTACTTGCTAGAGGGGTCAGTGTGAGTCTCTGGTAAGTAGAAAAGTCAACCTTGATTTCGTTTGAGCTAAGAATTTAATAACAATATGTGTACATACATATATATATTATATATATATACAAGTGATCGTGCTGTAATCAAATGAGAATTCGCGCCTTGAGCGAATGCATGTTGTACGAACCAAATATGAAAGTAATTAACAGCTGACTATTGCGGACATTAACCATTTCCGATCGACGATCAAAGAAAGCGCTGATTGATCACATTGATTTTGTGCGTGTACTTGATTATATTAGCACAAAGAGAATCAGCTTAATGAGAATATAAATTAGAAAGGTTCCAAGCAAAACAATTACCTTGGTGGGAAGACAGTTTTTAGTGCAATGCTTGCTTAGTGTGAGATAGTTTTTGATTGATCAGCACAAGTGAAAACGGCTATACTTCCGTTTAGGTTACAGCTCCGATTTACTTCAAAATGTTCATAGATGTTCCTTATGTGATAAAAAAAAAAACAATTTCTCAGGAGTTTTTTTTGGCGGATTTTTCTTAAGTGAAAATTTAAAAAAAAAATTGTTTGTCAAAAATTATCAAAATCTCGAATAAATAAATATAAAAAAACTCCAAATGAATTTTAAAAAATTTCAATCCTCCATCATCCGTTTTTTGGTAAAAAATTTATTAAAAAAAAAAAAATATTTTTTTATATATGTATGTGCAAAAATATGTATGAAATTTTGTTTTTTAAATGTATTAAAAACATTTTAAAAAATGTATTTAAAAAATTTTATAAAATACTCCAAAAAAAAAGTTGGCAAAAAACCTATTTTTTGTTCAAAAAAAAAAGTTTAAAATGTATTTACATATGTACGAGTATTTTATTTTTAGAATTTTTTTATTTTTCAAACAAAGAACCCTGGCGCATACAACATCGGGATGACCAACTTTTTTTAATTTAATCCAAAAACAGATGCATAGAATCTTCTTTTGAACAGTTGAAAAAACATTTGTGTGAGTTTAATGATTATTGTTTTAGTGTTTAATTAAAACAATTAAGGAAGGGACAAGTTCGAGTATAACCGAAAATTTTATACTCTCGCAATTTTCAAAGCTCAACGTCGGAGTAAAACCTTCAGGTGTTTACAAAATGTATATTATATATATACTTGTATTAAACATGTAAGAAAGGGCTAGGTTCGGGTGTAACCGAACATTTTATACTCACGCAACTTGCAAAGAGCAAACCCGCGGAAATACTTTCAGATGTTGGTAAAACTTTATATTAAACTAAACGGTGGAACGCCCCTTGTCCAATTTTTATACTCGAAAATATAAAGCTCTGCTGAGATATTTTTATTAAAATCAATCCAGCAAATCGGTAAAAACGTTCTGGGAGAATATTAAAATAATCAATTCCCGAAAACCCTGGCTATTAATTTAGTTGTGGAAAAAAAACAAAGACTTTTTAAAAATACTATTAATAAAATAAATTTAATATCAAAACAACAAATACACAACCGCCTAACAATAAAAAATAACAAAAACAAATAAAATAAATACATGAAAATGTTCGAAAATAATGCATGAATAAATACAATAAAAATACATACTACTTAGCTTATAGCGCTTTGAGTTACTCAATTGCGAATATCTTTAAGTGCGCATTTCATTCGAAAAAACTTGCAATTTTCCGATAGAGTGCCTTAAGCGGCCCAATCGAAGTGAGCACTAGCGACACAAGCGTCACCACTTGTAATACTCTGACGAAGGACCATAGTATGCTGTGATGAAAATACTCATAGCCGTAGAATTGCGCAAGTAATGCCGTTAGAAACGTGCCGAAGCCAACTACATTGTGAAAGCCCTTATTAAATAACGGACTGAGTATGCGTCGTAGAGTGTTTGAAAAGAGAGCACACAAGCCTGATAGCATACTGATGAGGCAGAGTATAAATGCAGCGAAACCTGTTGGAGACAAAAATTTGGAAAATTTTGAAAATTTATGTGCATGTATATTGCTACTAACTTACCTAAACGATTATGAATTTGATCCATCTTGAATTTCACTACGGCAATCATAACACTACAACCGGCCACTCCACAGCCACCGCCGAGTGTCAGCAGCACCCAATGTATGGTGGTTTTAGCTTTGCGTTTAAAACCGTTTGTCAGCGGGTTGATGCTATAATGGCACATTATACCCTCCGCCATTAGCAGCGAGAACTGCATATATAATATATTAAAAAATGGTTCACTTATGGGGTTCATAGATGGTTTTTTTTAGACGTGTGATTTTCCATGAGGCAATACTAAAGAAAGTTGTCTTTTTGACAGCTGTTACTTGATTTATACTCAGTTTGGTTTGCCATTTCATAATGAACAGACTTACTCCGAAACATCGTTTGCAAATCGTGCACATTTTTTACCAAAATTCTTTCCGATTTTTCTAATGGGTACATTAATAAATCAACTATCGCATTTGGAGTGATGATAATCCAAAAGCCAATGTTGGGATGCTATTATACCCTCAAAAAGTCACAGTTTGGTGTGCTCTATGGGCAGTAGGAATCACAGATCCATATTTTTTCAAAAATAAAAATGACGCCGGCCATAATGTTACAGTCAATGGGAAACGCTACAGAGCCCATATTAATGACTTCTTCGTTTCTAAATTGGAGGATGTTGGTGTGGACTACCATTGGTTCCAACAAGACAGCGCGGCTGAAACAATTAATTTATTGAAGGAAACTTTTGATCAGTGGATCATCTGGCGTCGTGGGCCAGTGGCGTGGCCTTCAAGATCGAGCTATTTAATACCACTGGACTTTTTTTTTGTTCGATTATGTGAAGTCGCTTGTCGCGGCAGATAAGCTTTGAGCTTATGACGCTTTGGAACAGAATATGCGGCGCCTTATTGCCGACGTACGGCCCCAATTGCTGCCAAAAGTGGTCGAAATTTGGGCGTCTCGGCTGGAATTTATTCGAGCTAGCCGCGGCGGTCACTTGCCCGAAACTATTTTTAAAACATAATGGCAAACAATTATCTTTATAATAGAGCTAAATTCTTGGCTATAAAATAAAATTATATGCGTTTCATATATTCTTGAAAACCACGTGTCTAAAAAAACAAGCACCCTTTAATTAAAATTCGCTTACACCAATGGTCACTAGAAAAGCATGCAACTGCATGGTATCCATATCTTGGTAAATACATAACCAAAACATATATATTGTCACGAATCCAATGCAGGCTTGGTTAGCTACCCAAATAAGGATTTCCACTCTTTCCAAAATTTTTGCCCACAGTGAATTTTCATTAGAATCTTTAGCAACCATTTTAAGCTAGAAAATCACTTTGTTTTTCAAAAAACGAGCGTTACTTATTCACTCAAGAAATATTTAAACTGAAATTTCTTTATTTTTGCAAGGACTCTCGTACCGTGACTCCGTATAGTGACTGAAGAGGCAGAAAGTGAATTGATTTCTCACTTTCCTGACAAAAATTACAGCTTTTAAATAATAACTTATAGTGTTGTGTGCTCACGTAGGTGATTTATTGAATTCTTCGATTAAATAACGATATATATTAAACAACGTATAGATATTTATATATTATATTTGCATTTATAGATATATGTATATAAATTTTTGCTGTTGCCATTGGTAAGTAGCTCTGCTTATCTAAGATTTCTAAGATAAAATTTTACACAAAAAATGCTTTAAATATTTGCAGTGTTCACACAGCCAAATGAACACAATGCAATATAAAAACACGCACTAAATAAATATTAGTAATGTTGTGAACGTTATCGAAATACGTGAAAATCGCATTAAGCTATTAAATATATTACCAAATTAATCCCCAAGTAAGTTATCGAAAAAGCGGTACATATTCATGTTTGAACATACGTACATAAATGGTGTGTCTGCATTTTCCGATTTCGTATAAATAATTTGAAAATATCTTTCACGATTAAAAACGTTTAATCATAACAAAGTTATTATTAATCATATGGCAAAAGAGGGCTTTAGATATTATATGTAAAGTTGGAAACCGAAATTTTAAATCGTATTTGTGGTAGGCCAAATGTATAAAATATTTCCGACAATAGCAGATGTTGGAATGTCGGAGTACAATTGCTGCAGAACGCCAGAATGTGATGCAATCTCAAACGTTTGCGAATATTAAGAGTTTGAAGTTGAAAACAAAAATTATTGACTTTGGTTGTATTCTGGTGCGATAGGGGCTGGGCAAGTAAAAATACACCAAGGCTAACGATAAGTTGGACGGCCTGCTAAAATGACGTTGCGTTAGTATATTTTGACAATATGGTTGAGAGATTTTGTCGGCACTTACGATAACAGTACGAATGTCTAATAAGTACGGGACTTTTTATTTGAAATGAATCAACATTCCGCTGCTTTATTTTATAGTTGTTTCTAAGTATATATATATATAATATATATATAATATATAATATAATATATATAATATATAATATATATATATATGTAAGTATAAGAAATATCTTATCATGCGCTGCTTATCTAGTTGATACACATGTAATAACATGAGAACTAACAGTTAATGTTTTTTCATTTCAGCGTCAGTATCGTTACAAAAGTTCTGAAATCGTAACATTTGGTTTACTAAGCTTGTCGAATAAAAATAATAATTGAATTACAAATAAGAACACAATGGTCATAAGCAGCTACACATGGAATCTCGCCAATCAATGCTTCATTTTGGCAATAACCGTTTGTATGTCAGTGAAATGTGCGGAAATGAAATTCCAAAAAACTGCCACACATGCATTTCTCTGTACGCTTGGAGTAAGTACACATATCACACTCAAAAAGCCCCCAGTTAACTAACAACTGTTACTGTAACTGTTTTGCAATTTTCATTATAGTTTGTTTTCCTTTCGGCCGAGGGCATGATGGTGCGTTGCAACAATAATTGGCTAACACGCTCCTTGCATCCAGATACAAAGACAACGCTGCATTTCTGGTTGCAATTAGTTGGTGGTATTTTAGGGGTGGCGGGTACGCTGCAGAAATCCCTGCCAAAGGAACACCATTTCCGTTCGTGGCATGGAAAACTGGGTATGTAAATAAACCCTACACAAATATATATATACAAGTACTTTGAATCATTTAATAGATTCTTAAATTGTTTTCCTTTAGGTTTAGCTGCTTGCGTGTTCTTTGTGATCAACTGTCTCTCCGGCTCGTTGGGTCTGTACTGCTGGGGCTACCGTCAGTATGTGTCGCCGGTAGTTAACGATTTCATACACAACTTTCTTGGTTTGCTAACATTTGTAACTGCAATGCTGGCTCAATATACCGGCTATAATACGGGCTTCTTTCGCCGCAATTTAAAGGAGCACGAAAAATTCTATAAATACTTGACAGCGGCCGTATTGGTGCTGACTACATGGGGACCATTGATGATATTTTTACGGAAGCTCTTTTAGATTAGAAATAAATAGTTAAAACATTAAGCAATAAGGAAATGTGATTATTGTACAAAGTTCGAATTTAGAAGCGTGTATGTGACTTAAATAATGAAAGAGCAAATGTTTTTTTTTATTTTTATTGAAATGTTAAATTACAAGGTACCGTTTTTGAAAATTGGAATAATAAATGTATCTAGCTTAATTTTTTCATAATATTTTTATACTATTGTATGAGAAGAGTATTGAAAAGAAGAGAAAATAAAAGAATCTAGCATAGTAGCCACTAGAAAACAGTTACCAAAATTCGTATTATGCATGGCAATCGGCAACTGATCAAAGACTACTATTGGTGTATTATGTATCATTACCAAATTCAGGTAACTGTTCTAGACCAGTTGTCTAAATCACATCGCGTAGAATATCTTTAATAAAAATTTGTTTACTTTTCTTTGTACTTCCAATTAATTCAAATCTGCTAGACATAATTATTTCAATCAGCGTTATTTGTATACCCTGAACAAGGTATATTAAGTTTGCCACGAAGTTTGTAACATTCAGAAGGATACATCGGAGACCTTATAAAGTATATACATATGTATGTATATAAATGATTAGTGTGACGAACTGAGTCGATTTAGCCAGTCATTTTGTAAATTAAAAAAAAAAAATAATGAATTGAATAAAATTGTGTTGCTCTCTCACCGCAATTTTCAGTGAATTATTTTGCCCAGACATATATGGTCACTTAAATTTAGCCATATCCGTATGTCTGTCTGTATATACACGAATATCGGTCTAAAAATTTGCACACGTCCTTTTCTTCCCAAAAATCTGCTCATTTGTCAGAATCGCTGATATTCGATTACTATAGAATATAGCTGCCATACAAACTGACCGATGAAAATCAAGTTCTTGTATGGAAAACTTTTCGTTTTGACAAGATATCCTCACCAAATTTGGCATAAATTAGTGTAGAAGGCAACGTTATAATCTCCGAAGAAATTGTTGAGATCGGTCCACATCCATCGCAGCCGTAATTTCTTAATAAATTTTACCATTGCTGCCAATTACTTTAAACAGTATGTTTTAAAAATGTTGAATCTGGGATGTTGGCGGGTTTTCAAGTATACAGATATCATATTTTTGGATTATCGTATATATTCCTCTTCAAGTATATGATTCTCCAAAATAAGTTTGCATTTGAAAATACCTCAATTTTTATACGAGTTTTTGCTTACACTTTGCTAAAATAAATCGTTTCATTATTCTGATTAACAGAGCATGAAATACAAATTTAAACTAAATTGGATTTCATAACAGTAGATCTACCAAAATTTAAAACTGTTCTAATTTTTTTTATATATTTTTTATTGTGGATATAATTACATTCCTTTATGGATAAGATTTATTGAATTCGTATATATTATATAATAATTGAGAAAACCATTTTAAAAGCCATTCATAGATTCATGAAATATATTAAAATGTTAAGCTTTGCTAAATATGTGTGTGTAAGTAATATGAAATATATATTGGTTCATAAAATAAAAAAAAATATATGTATATGTATATGTACGTGTATGTATGTATATTCAAATTCGCATTTCATTGATCAAAGAACAAAAGGAAAAAAATTATATGGGTAGGATAAAGCGAGTGATTTCAGGATAAAGGCTCATGGCAATGAATACACTTTTGACAGTGTGAGTAGTGCAGATATACCGTTTCAGCAAAGAAACGAATGCATACGCGGTTATAGTATAGGGACGATGATTTTGTTAAAAAAAAAAAAATAAACACGCATTTCAGAGAGAAAAATGATCCTAAAATACTAAATTAGCAGCAGGCTTTGCAGCTATATATAGATATCTCAATTGTTGCCTTGGCTCTGTGCCGGTGACATCAAATCCAATGCGGCCGAAATATTGCCATTGACCGACTCGAGCAATTGTGTCAACCATCCTCCTTCATTGCTAAAGCCCATAGCTACCATAGCATGTATAGCTTTATTGATACTAGGATCTGGTTAGGATAGCAGATAGCAAATTGATATCAAACTATTCACTACTTTTACATTTCAAACTTACCTTTGTGATAAACGAGCACAGCTAGGTTCTGTGGTTTGGGTGTAGCGCCAGTGTTAACGGATGTTGTGGGCGTGTTGTTGTTAGTCATAGAATCAGACTGAGCATTCAAGACATCAGCTGTTTTAATTCTTCTTTCGATACGATCAAGCGACTTTTCCTTTTCAACATGATTTTTCAAATCCATGCTGAGTTGTTCAAAACTTATATCAGAATTGCTCTTTGGAGACATGTTTTCGACAACTGGTGTTGATGCTGGAGTAGCTGGCGTTATACCAACGGCACCGGGTAATTCGATTTTTTCTATAGTTTCGGTCGAGCTAGCAGCAGAAATATTAAGTAAATTTGTTGTGGACTCGGCAGCCTGTTTGTCAATCATTTGCCAGTCATTTTCCTCACTCTCTGACCGCTTGCGTTCCGGAGTGCGCGATTTTTCATTGATATTTTCCATGATAATTGCAGAAGAATTTGTTGTTGTATCAGGATTGATTGGCTCCGCAGTTACACCAGAATTTTTGGATTGCTCGTTATTTGATTTTTCTGCTTCGGTAGTCTGCTTAGCATTTGAGTTCGCTTTAGTGCTTGTGGAACTTGCAGCCGAGCGCATTGAGCTTGCGGCTGAAGCTGAAGAGCTTTTGCGTGCTTGGTAGCCAGTACCAGCATATGCAGATGCATAACTGTTGTCATCAGCGCCATCCATTGGGTCGAGCATTTTTGCGAACATACCGCTGAAATTATTAAGCAACTGTATTCCTGCTTTCATGAATTTCGGATCAATGAATTGAGCGAAATCTTCTATAGTTGGTGTAACTGGCACCGACGTGTTGTCATTTGGATTATTGTTAATATTGCTTGAATCGGATTGAGATGTAGGAGTTGAAGTTCCAGTACTAGCCTATATATTTAACAAAATATAATTTATTTAAATATGGTATATTGTTTATTACTCTATTTTTTACAAAAGCTTACCATGTTAGGAGTGGCCTTTCCACCAGCTGCACCTACATCTTCATTATTAGTCTGATTTCCAACTGTTGCGTTAAGTAAATCATTCAAAACATTTGCAGCTGCTTGTTCATTAACTGTTGCTGTTATTTCAGCAGCCTGCTTGTTTACTTGGGCTGCTACTTCGGCAGCTATTTTAGTAGCTGCTTCAGCTGTCTTTGCTGCTGCCTCACATGCAGCTTTAGCCGCTTCGCTTGTAACATCAACATCATTTGGCTTTGTAGATTTATTTTCCTTTGGTGGTGAAGGAGCTGATGGAGTATTGGGAGCACTTTCATCCATTTGTCTATATGTGGCGCCTCCTTCGGCGAGGTCGGACATCATTTCATACATGTGAGATAAAAAGCCGTTGCGCATTTGACGACGATGATGCTTGCGTTCGTGATGGTGATGATGGTTTCCAATCTTTGGTTCGGCATCAGTATTAGCGCAATTTTCATTTGCTGCAGGTGTTCCTGCTGCTCCAGTATCAAAAAATGGACAACCCCCAGCATTTGAACTCTTGCGTTCACGCTTTGCTCGGCGGCCGTTACCTCGCCCACATGGAGTACTTATCCAAGCATCAATTATGCTGGGTGAGTTTTCTTTTGGCATGCGTACCATCATGTGCTCCGGGTGTTTGTGCTTGGCCTCACAACGTTGGCATAAATCGTAATTCGAACACTGGATACACTTGTAGCGAAAACCCACAATTGGGGCCAAACCACAAGAATCACATTCTACATTTTCGTGTATGACGAAAGCGCTTGGATCATCATCATTCTGGTCGGTCTTGTCCGCAAATTTAAACGTTTTCTTCCACTGCTCCGATGGTGTGATGTACAAATGTAATTTTTCCGACCGTTTATAAAGGAACAAATCATAGTCGACTTGGTTGCAAATGTCGATTTCATCACCATCTTCATCTAATCAAAAAAAATTAAGAAAAAAGTTATCTCTTTTCACCGGTTTTTCGTTTTGTGAGATAAATTTATAAGTATTTTCTACTCGCAGATACAAAAACAAAAAGAAACTGAACAGCTACACATGAGTCATATTACACTGCCTTTGTTACGAAATTGTGATAAGAAAAACGAAACACACATATGCCATAATATTGCGGATTAGTGTTCAAGAAGTTTCCTAACTTGTTTTTAATTTTAACTATTTTTACTTACCAAACCAGGTAGTTTTAAATGCAAACTTTGATAGCTTGCGTTCATCGAAGAGTTGTCTTGAAATGGTATCCTTTATGACATTGTAATTATGCGATGGCTTCTTGATGTATATATTGAGTTTACTATTTCCATCATCGTAAGTGACTTTCATTAACTCGGTGAAAATCTCCATTTCTTTTTATGTGAATTTAAACTTTTTAATAAACAATCGATTTATCGCACAATATTATCCTTGATCTTCTGTTGTACAAGCGTTTGTTAATATTTTATTTATATATAATATATATAAATATGAGGGTTGTTACTGCTTGAAACACTTCCTGACGGCTAGAATTACTTTCAAATTATGTGCGTTTCGCAACTTTTTCCGAAGTTTATATATTGCGCAGTTGAGTTCTTGCAACTAAATGTTATCTGAATCAGCGCTGTACCAGCTAGTTTTTCTTGATATGTATACCTTCGCGTATATTCGTGAATGTTCTTCTTTTCAAATTCTGCAACTCACTGAATAATGTTCAAGTTTGTTTCTCTTTCTGGTTCAATATATATGTAAAATAACCAGCTTCAAATGTGCAACTTCATTTGTTGAGGCGAAAAACTATACAATGGATTGTGAAATCAGATGCGATGACTCTGATATTAAAAGCTGCCAACTGAAAATACGACGATAGATAGATAGGAACTGATATATATATATATATATTTTTTACATTCTCTGCTGGTACGAATGTTACGAAGCAGCAGATAAAAGCAAAACACGAAAATAGCTCATTCCATTGTACCGATTGTGAATAATAATAAAAAGCAGAGTTGTATTTGACTGAAAAATAATGCGAATAGTGGAATATTGTTATAATTAATTTATTTAATTGTTGTTATAAATAATAGTTTAACAATAATATATGATCAGAAAAAAATGTTAACTATATATGCTATATTTCAGAGCAAACTTATTTACAAAGTTAGTGCTTATTATTAATTATGATTCTGATATTAAAACCCAGTTTATTTAGACATTACTTATAGTTTTTTTTACAACACGTTAATTAGCATTGAATTAATAATATAATAAATCAAGCTTAATTGATTTTAGGTATTTCTGAGAGTTAAGCCTTTATAAATTTATAGGTGAAATCGAAATTTTAGGTATGGTACATATATCATTTCATATGAGACGCCACTTTCCCGACAGTCGAGCCTATGAAATTGGGATGGGACGGAATTTGAATCACATCAAAAATATGTGTACATATGATATTAAATTAAATTTATTCCGGGTTTATATGTGTGTATGTACATATATGAGCGTGAACACTTACAGAGTTGTTCTTACTCCCGCTTAGTTTTCCACAATATGAACTTTGAGGAAAATATATGAGGTTAAAGAAACGAGCAGTTAAACTCTGCTCGCCTCCGATTTGCTTAGAAATGTACTTATACAGAAGTAAATTTTGATCTATAAGGTTGTATGGCAGCTAAGTATTATATATGCCATAGTGATCCGATTCCAACAATACATTCGGAGATAGTAACGGTGCCTTGGAAAATAATCTTTGCCAAATTTCGTGAAGATATCTTGTCAAATGAAAAATTTTTTCTATACTAGAACTTGATTTTGATTTATCACTTTTTATGGAAGCTATGTACAATATGTATGTATGTACATATGTGATATAGTGCTCCGAAATCGATTGATTCCGACAAATGGGTAGCTTTTTATTGAGAAAAGGACGTGTGTGAAATTTGCCATCGATATCTCAACACTTATGTTAGGGGACTATTTGACGTACACACATATGTACATATGTATATTCAGACATTCGGACATGGCTTAATCGACGCAGTTAATTACGCTGGGTATTTATATGAATACTTGAGGGTTTCCGACGTTTTGTTCTGGATCTAACGAATTTGGTGGCAAAGTTAATATACCCTGTTCAGACTGCACATTTTCTCTCTATGGTGGTATTTTTGCCAAAGTTGAGTTTACTGGCTAAATTGGAATTGGGTTATAGCTCTTTATGCTTTTTCGAATAATGCCATTTTGTGCCTTTGCCAATGAACTGATAATGGTCATCTGCAGCACCTCTTCAAATTTTCAAGGTACATAATTTGTTATCAAGAGGATATCTAAATTTTTACTCAAGTTATCGTTCGGCTGGCTGAAAAGGGAAGCGCAGGACCACCATTTAGGCCATCTTTAGTCCCATTGTACTCCCCCTATCGTTTAGAAAGGCATAAAGCTAATCGGTCATGAATTTATTCACTTTTTTAAATTTAATTGAAAGTCAATATAAATTGTTCATGTTATTGAATTGAGTGACGACCAGCTTATTATTATACTCGTATAGGCTGTAAGGTTTATAATTGTTGAAATATAAATAAAATTATGGTTTTTTTCTATTGATCTTCACTCCGAACAGCATTTTCACGTTCAGATTTCAAAATGTTTCTTTCTTAAGCTTTTAAGACGGGAAAGTAAAAACTACACAACATCTTCTGCAGGTGTCTTCTACTTCTTGCAGGTCCCATTAATACAAATACTAATGGTTAGACCTAAATTATACATGTGGCAATTATAAGTATATTCTAAAATGTCGTACCGTTTATCACAGCCAATCGTTAAGCAGATGTTAGTATTTTATGTGTATACAAATATAATATATTATATATATATATATGTACACATATAAAATGTCTTTGTATATAATTTTTCACAAATGCCACATAATTGAGATAAAAAGCTTCTTGTGTAGCGTGAAAGTTGGTCCAGGGAAATAATACTTTTTAACAGCATAATCAGTTGACTGCATGGGTTTCAACAGCGAGGACGTTTCTGCAAAGTTTTCGAAAATTTAATATTTTGAACTTATGTGTTAATACAAGTTCGCTAATAAAACAGAATTATTCGCATAACTTACGAATTGTCAATTTATATCAAAGTAATGCTGAAATGTTGCGAAAGATATTGAGGTTTGTTCTACGCTTGAAATTCCGGGGGGCGTTACCTTGCTTGTTTTCAGAATAAAATATAGAATACTAAATAAATATAAACCAATAAATAATAAAGGAAAAATCGTATTGGCATCGGACTAATTTTAATTCACTCATAGAGCTATAAGTTTATTTTTCAGAAATCTTTGAAATATTTAAAATCATTTTCTAAATTTAGAAAATTAATTGCCATCGAAAATATTAAAAGAAGTTTTCTATAAAAGTGAAATTGCAGCGTTGGAAAAAAATATCTAAGCCTAACAATGTCAATGAAGCGTATAAATAAAAATAATTTGTTTATAGTTTGAATACCCATATAAAAAATGCAAAAAAAAAAAAACACATAAAAGAAAAGCGGCACAATGAACTCTTTTGTGGCTAAATACTTGTACGTAAGTAGTATGCAAAAAAAAAAAATAGAAAATTTGCATAATGCGAAAATTAATTTGGGCGCGGTTGGGATGCGATCATCGCCAACGAATTAGAATACAAACAATTTGTCACCAATTTCCGCGTTTTGAGCAAATTCTATGATTTAGGTGATTACAGCAAAAGCTAATTGAAATAAAATGCCAACAAAAATATTAATTAAATCGCAATTTTTGACATAAAAGGTCTTTATGACAACTTTTTTGCAAACGTGAAATTTCGCATTTCATTTTTTGTTTGCGTTTTAAGATGTGTGAATTGGAAATAACGGATTTATCGCCTTTTTGGTAGAACAAAGCCAATTTACTAATTAGAGCATGTAAATGCGAAATTAACGTTTAAATGGGCAGTTAGAGTGAGTTACACATACATTTTCAAACTTATGTAAATAAAATAGTTTAACAAAGATTTTTAATTATTGCAATTTATAAAATACTTTATTAGATTGCTGTAACTAACTTCGTTTTTTTTCGATTACCATCAGTTTAAAACCACAACTACTTCTGGTGTTTTTATTGGCGCTTGCTAGCTTTTCGTATGGCGCCGAGTTTTCGTCTAATGTAAAAAATTCCGAGTCATCCTCCATAGCTAACGGTACTGGTATTTTGAAAAGCTTAAGCAGTGGTAATCAAATGGAAAGCTTGAGAAGTGAAAGTGTAGAGGAAAATGTGGATATAGATTATGATGAGGAGCAGGATGACGATGGTGATGACGATGACGACGAAGCAACGGGGGAAAGACCAAAGCACACACGCAAAAAACATATTAGCATTATAAAACGTGTGGGCACAACTTTTACTTGGGATCGCTGGGAAAAATGGACTAAATGCAGTAATTCCTGTGTGCAAATTCGCCGCAGAAAATGCATCGAGCGGTAAGTATTATTGAAATATGCAATTTAAAAGATTTCGTAGTTGTTTACCTTCTGTTCTCCTGACCTGTCTTTTTGTTACATATATACTTGTATGTTTGAGGAGTTACTCTGCTAAAAACAATAAAACACTTTCTAAGCCATTTACTTTTTTCAATAAAAATACATAAGTAACACATTAGAGTCGCTCTTGTAGGTATAATTTCTAGTACAGATAGTTCAAGTCTTATAAAATTATATTTTTCGGTTCATTAGTGTTCCTTCCCTTATAAGATACATTTTTCATGAACTTGGCAATGTTTAATTTTTTTACTTAGTAAAATAGGTAGGTAAGGGGGGTAAATTAAACACTTGTCTTTTTCGAAACCCTTGAGTACATATTAACCTTTCTATATTGTTATTCCCTGAACAGGGTATATTAAGCTTGTACGAAGTTTGTAACACCCAGAGGGAAACGGCGGAGATCCTATAAAATGTATACTTATATAATTGATCAGCGTGAAACGATTTAGCCGTTCGTCTGTTTGCATGTATATACGCAAACTCAGTTTTTGAGATATCGATCTGAATTTCGCACACGTCCCTTTCTCTCCAAGAAGCTACTCATTCCTCGGAGCCGATATAGGACCACTATAGTAATTTATTTCCCATAAAAACTGACCGATCCAAAACAAGTTCTTGTATGAAAAACTTTCTTCACGAAATTTGGCATGGATTATTTTCAAAGACAACGGTGCAGTCTCCAAACAAATTGTTCAAATCGGACCACTGTAATATATCGCTGTTATACAAACTCATCAATCGAAATCAAGATAAAGATCTTTTTAAACCCGTTTATGCTTTAAGAAATGCTCTTGTGAAGGGTATTATAGCCTTCGTGCAACTGAAACTAACGTTTTTTCTTGTTTTTCAATTTATATTTATGTTTTTTTAAATTTATTTTGTTAAAGTAAACTGACTTCACTGGATGCTGCTCCGATTGACCGAGAATTCTATCCTGAACCCAATAGCCTCACCGGTTGTCGAGGTATTATAAAACGTTTTCGGTTTTGTAAAGACGAAAAATGTAAGGCGAATAAAAAGCGGCAACGTGATGAACAATGTGCCGACTTCAACAGAATACCATATAAAGAAAAGTTCTACAATTGGCTGGGCTATGAAAAGGAACACAACGAGTGTGAGCTATTTTGTCGTCCAAGTGGTTCGGGCATGTTCGTGAGCATGAATCAATCAGTCACGGATGGTACCACCTGTGGCCGACCGGCAGTTTATTACACACACTATTATAGACGTAAGGCGGTATGTGTGGAGGGTGTTTGTCGGGTGAGTAGTAGAAGGGTTCTTTAGTAGAAGGTGTACGTAAAGTGTTCGTAGAAAAAATTAATAATTTCAACGTCTTACGTATTAGTTATTGCTTACAGTTGATCTCTTCTCTTTCTTAACTCAATTTTGTTCTCACATTAAGTGATCGTTACATCATTGGCTGACCTTTTTCACCGCCTGACCTTCGCAGCTTTTATTCCACAGTTGATGAGTTTTCTTGATAAGAATGAAATAACATAGATTATACTGTAATCAATACTTTAATGATTACTGTCTGCGAAATCGTTTCATTCATCAGCTAATAGTCGTAAATATAATAAAAATCGTGCCCCATTGCTGAGCGCGTCGCTTTGGTCAAACGTTTGAGCTTTGAACGTTTTGATCGCTCCGATCGTTTTGATGATCTCTCAATTCTTCTTCAGTGAATCAACGTGTAAAAGTTGCAAAGAAAAAATTACACACTTGATTAAATTTGATTCAATTGCTTTGCTCAGCTGATTGAGTCTTACATAGATCTTGGCTTGCCTTGCTGATCGACAATTGCGTATAGCACCCGACGCGAGTGCATTCTAATCATCATCATCATTGTCAGCGTCATGATGAGCGCCTCAAACGCGACACTGGCTTTTGACGGCCGATCGTTGTGCATCGTCACAAAGTTATCACGATCCGCTTAGCTCATTTGCGCAACGATTATCTCTAATTTGTTAAAATGTACATTACCGTGTTCGCTGTGTGGACATGATAGCGGTGATAAGCGACTGACCGTTGGTGTAGTTGGTCACGCCGCGGCCGTGGTGCGACCGTTGCTGGCCATTCTTTGGGCTACAAAACTGTGCGCGCTGCTGTTGCGTTTGCAAATCATTTAAATTCGTTTTATGATGTGCATACTTTTTATTTTCTTTGTTTCCCTTATTCTCCTTTTTCAGTTTTATTTGGTGGCACTTTGGCCAATTGGCACTTAGCCGGCTTGCCGCTCATTTGTTGTGATGATGCTGATCTCGTGCCTCAGTCGGCAGATGGCAGCTATTCAAGCATTTAACAAGATCGTCCGTTCTGTTTTAGTTGGGCGCTGCGGAGTTGGCATGAAGAAAAATATATTATGAATATTTTTTTTTTAGAGTTTTAAACCTTTGATCTCATTGTCGCGCGCAAACGTGTCTCTCGTGGTGTGAAGTTAAGAGTTATGTGAGATAATTAGCTATAAATGGGTACAGATTTCTTTCAGAAGCATTCTGGCAAAGAAACAAAATTGAGGTTCCAAATGTTTGTAAAACATTTGTCATTTTAGAAAGGAGTAGTAGGCGATTTAGAAGACCATGCTCACCGATTTTGAAAGTATATTCACCACTATATAGCTTGGACGACTGTATAAAGACCCTACGACTTGTACTAAATGCTCCTTTTGATATCCTACTTTTTATTCTAGGATAAGTTTTTCAGTTCGTAAGCCGAAGGGGAACGAATGGCGGCCTTTCAAGTAGTCTCTTTCTGTCGATAATTTCTCAATAACCTGATATTTCTCCAAAATATAGATATCTCAGTAATGTAATCATAGTATGAAAGCCTCGAGTGGATGGAAACATATCACCGAAAGCAGACTGTATTAAGTTTGCCACGTAGTTTGTAACATTCAGAAGGAAACGTCGGAGCGCATATAAATTCTGCACAGAAATGATAAACGTGATGAGCTGTGTCGGCTTAGCTATGTCCGTCTGTTCGTTCATCTGTATATCGATTTGAAATTTGCACGCACCTTTTTTCTCCAAGAAGCTTAATCGAAACCGCCGATATCGAGCTACAGGTTATAGCTGCCATACAAATTTATCGGTTAATATGAAGTTCTCGTATGGAAAACTTCTTTATTTAGACCAATGCAGAAGCCTTGAAAAATGATAAAAAAATAAAATAAATGCATCGTAGGTTAAAACTCATCGTAAACACAAGTTAAATTAACAAACATTAACGGAAAAATAATTTATGTTCGATCTGTGGTCGGGAAAAGGAAGGGGAGGGGCGTGACTGATTTTTAAAGATTAAGAATGGTTTATCTCGATTTTCGTCAAAACTACGAGTCTGTTGTAGGTAATGAAAGTATCTACAACTTTTGCATACAGACTTTTTTCACATTACCTCAAAATTGATGTGAAAAATTCAAATAACCAAGTGTTTGGGTTTTTTTTATTTATATCTGGTACAAACAAATTTTTCCTTTTGCGAAATTTGGTATAAACTTACCTTCTGTTCCAAGCACACTGTGTTTTTTTAATTTAACAAATAAATTCTTTCTTCTCTATTTTGACTTAATATCGAAAATTAGGGCTTTTTTCAATCAAAATTTCCAAGTCAAAATATCAGATTTTATTTTAAGACGACCGTAGGCTTTAATTCATTAAAGGCTCTACTTTTTGTTAGTATTAAAGTTATATACATTACTATTTAAAATTTTCTCAAAAACGCAAACAAAAACCCTAAAAAACGATTCAAAACTGTTTTTTTACTGCTGCTACTACGAAAGAATAGGTATGCAGATGAAAAAAAAAGCAATTTTGAATCGTTTTTCAGCTGTTTAGTTGGGTCTTGCTTTGCCATTTCTGAGAAAATTGATTACACTAATTTTTCATCATCAAGCCCTTGTGTGGAAAACTTTTTTATTTGACAGTAGTTATATGAAATTTTATGAAATTTGGCAAATCGAACTACGATAGCAAAAGGCTACGAAATATCGCGATTTCGGTAGCAATGATATGATTTTGGAAGAGTGAAAAACTATGCTGTACTCACATTCAAAGATGGGTGTCATTGTTCATACATACATACAACCAAAGTTGTGTATATATTTGTAATTAACTTACCACCTCTGACTTGATTTAATTGTCGCTAGACCTTAGGCCTGATTTAATAATACCATTGTGTTTGTTGCTTTTATTGTTGTTATTATTAATGAATACTTTCAGCGCATGTGTGCAATACGCTCGGGGTTGTAAACATTTTTTGACGACTTTTCAATATCACTTACATTGTTGTTGTTGTTGTTGATTGTTTACACATAAACACATACACTTGAACCCACCACCCGCTCCCACAAGCGCGCCGATACTTCAAGTTCACTTGGCGCGTTTTCTCATTGCTTATTGGATCTGTATGTTTTTACTTTGCTCTTGTTGTTGTTGTTGTTGTTACTTTTCGATTTTTCACTCATGTGTATTGGCCGCCAATAATTGTGTTGTTACTTGGCTATTGTGCCGTACATATGTATGTAGTTGAGATCGGTTAGTGCCTTTGCTGTTGTTGTCGTTAGTTGTTTGCTACAATAGTTGGCAGCAATTGCTATGGGATGCTGCATTGCTGCTCTGCAAGCGTGCGATTGCGGCTCTTCATGAACATTTTTTAGTTATTTTGCTATTGTTATTGTTGTTTTTATTATTTTTATGTATTTCTGTTATGATTTGGTTAGCGTTGCTCGCGCATTATTATTGTTATTGTTTTGGCTTTTATCTTATGTACCGCAATGTATTTGGTGTGTGTGATTTTTCGCTTTTAATTTTCTTTTTGAACGTAGTATATATTTTTTTGTGTTGAAAAATTCGAAATCATAAATTTTTCTCGTAGCCAAACTCATTCGCCGATGTTTTGTCAACCGCTCAACAACGTGTTGTTAGTTGCGTTCGGTGTGTTCCGGTATTCTGTGCGACGGTATTTAGCGGTCAGTGGGTGAACTAATGAGTTATTAATTGAGTTTTGGCGGTGAAACGTTGCGAACAATTAAAATTGTGTATGTGTGTGATAAATTGCAGTAAATAAAAATCTCATTAGTTAATCGTTAATCAAAGCACGAACTTTTATAATTTTTTATACATTTAAAAAAAATATTTTTTTTTGTGTTAAAAACTTTGACAATATACAAGTATTATACAAATTAGTTTTTTTTGAAAAGAAAGTAGAAACAAGTTTTATTACTAAAAAAAACCACTTAAAAATATTTAATTATTTCAATTCATCTATTTAAGTTCTTTATGAAATATGTCTTCAAATACAAATATGAAAATTCAATCCACTAAGAAAATCTACCATGCTTATATCTTCAGTCGTTGACTGTGCATTACTACATATACGAACATATATATATATATATATCTACATATATATGCTTCTTTTGTGAATAGTTGTAGCTATAAAACTTGCGTGCACCTAAACGATTTATTCACCTGTTAAACCAAACGTGTTAATTGACACTAAATACATCTATCAAATAAGAATTTCCTACATATGTATGTACATACGTATCCATGCATACATATATATTAACTAGACTTAACATGCAAGAAGAAACATTTTAATTTTTTCTGCTATTTTCACCTTTTGCATTCTGTTAAACCCTATTTCCTGTCAAAGTACGGCAACGTGGTAACAAATTATCAGTGGCTGAATAAGAGAGAACGGTTAGCGAGAACAGATCATCCACCAACTCTATCTGCATCATCCTTTTTTGTGGTTACTGCTATAGAATCAGAAATTATAGAACTCGTGTTACCGTTACATGATTTTTGCACCTCTAAATCCCTTGTGCTGGCTGCCGTAGCAGCGGGATTTCTCCATACACGGTTACCCCCTAGCATACTTTCAAATCTTGACGATTTGTTGCTTGTTAAATTTAACTTTTATTCGAGGTTGTATATTTTTTGCGATTGTTATATGTACAAGGCGGGAGCTTAGTAGCAACTATCGTCATTTGATGACTAAACACATAGTAGTAGTAGATTTTCACGAAGATTTTTGGCATTAATAGTTATTGAATGGCGCCAAAGCACCCGTCATGTCGCTGGAGGGCTTAGATGCACTCAGGATTTATGAGGAATACAGTACTACCCAAAATCTCTCTTAAACTCTTCCTCCCTAGACGCTGAACGCTGTCCGGGACTGCATATTGGTTATTCGTAGCAAATGCTTATATATAAAGGCCTTTCAATATCCGCAACCTGTTACCCGTTCGGTTGCTT